CACACATACAACACACAAACATTCACACATAGACAACACGCAAATATTCACAGTCCTACAACACACACAGACAGCACACTAACATGGACACTCCTGCAACACACATACATTCACACTCCTACAACACACAGACAACACACAAACATTCACACACCTACACTAAACTCACAGACAACACACAAACATTTACACTCCTACACTAAACTCACAGACAACACACAAACATTTACACTCCTACACTAAACTCACAGACAACATAAAAACATTTACACTCCTACACTAAACTCACAGACAACACACAAACATTTACACTCCTACACTAAACTCACAGACAACACACAAACATTCACACACCTACACCAAACACAGACAACACACAACCATTCACACTCCTACAACACACACAGACAACACACAACCATTCACACTCCTACAACACACACAGACAACACACAACCATTCACACTCCTACAACACACACAGACAACACACAAACAATCACACACCTACAACACACAGACAGCACACTAACATGTACACTCCCGCAACACATATACATTCACACTCCTACAACACACTGACAACACACAAACATTCACACACCTACACTAAACACAGACAACACACAAACATTCACACACCTACACTAAACACAGACAACACACAAATATTCACACTCCTACAACACACACAGACAACACGCAAACATTCACACTCCTATTACACACACAGACAACACACAAACAATCAAACTCCTACAACACACACAGACAGCACACTAACATGGACACTCCTGCAACACACATACATTCACACTCCTACAACACACAGACAACACACAACATTCACACACCTACACTAAACTCACAGACAACACACAAACATTTACACTCCTACACTAAACTCACAGACAACACACAAACATTTACACTCCTACACTAAACTCACAGACAACACACAAACATTTACACTCCTACACTAAACTCACAGACAACACACAAACATTTACACTCCTACACTAAACTCACAGACAACACACAAACATTTACACTCCTACACACAGACAACACTCCTACACTAAACACACAGACAACACACAAACATTCACAGTCCGCCAACACACACAGACAACACACAAACATTCACACTCTTCGAAGCCACACAGATAACACACAAACAGTCTCACTCCTACGACACACACAGGCAACACACATTCACACTACTCGAACACACACAAACATACACACTCATAGAAAAGACACAGAACACACAAACATTCAAACTCCTACAACACACACAGACAACACGCAAACATTCACACTCCTACAACACACACAGACAACACGCAAACATTCACACTCCTACAACACACACAGACAACACGCAAACATTCACACTCCTACAACACACACGGACAACAGACATTCCTCCTACAAGCACACACAGACAACATGCAAACATTCCTACAACACACACAGACAACACGCAAACATTCACACTCCTACAACACACAGACAACACGCAAACATTCACACTCCTACAACACACACAGACAACACGCAAACATTCACACTCCTACAACACACACAGACAACACGCAAACATTCACACTCCTACAACACACACAGACAACACGCAAACATTCACACTCCTACAACACAGATTCACAAACAATAAAACATTCCACACTACACCCTACAGCACACAGACAACACGCAAACATTCCACACTCCTACAACACACACAGACAACAACGCAAACATTCACACTCCTACAACACACACAGACAACACTGCAAACATTCACACTCCAAACACAACACACACAGACAGACACGCAAACATTTCACACTCCTACAACACACACAGACAACACGCAAACATTCACACTCCTACAACACACACAGACAACACGCAAACATTCACACTCCTACAACACACACAGACAACACGCAAACATTCACACTCCTACAGCACACACACAGACAACACGCAAACATTCACACTCCTACAACACACACAGACAACACGCAAACATTCAAACTCCTACAACACACACAGACAACACGCAAACATTCACACTCCTACAACACACACAGACAACACGCAAACATTCACACTCCTACAACACACACAGACAACACGCAAACATTCACACTCCTACAACACACACAGACAACACGCAAACATTCAAACTCCTACAACACACACAGACAACACGCAAACATTCACACTCCTACAACACACACAGACAACACGCAAACATTCACACTCCTACAACACACACAGACAACGCGCACATTCACACTCCTACAACACACACAGACAACGCGCAAACATTCACACTCCTACAACACACACAGACAACACGCAAACATTCACATTCCTACAACACACACACACAGACAACCCTACTGGCACACGCAAAACACGCAAAACATTCACACTCCTACAACACACACAGACAACACGCAAACATTCACACTCCTACAACACACACAGACAACACGCAAACATTCACACTCCTACAACACAGACAGACAACACGCAAACATTCACACTCCTACAACACACACGGACAACACGCAAACATTCACACTCCTACAACACACACAGACAACACGCAAACATTCACACTCCTACAACACACACAGACAACACGCAAACATTCACACTCCTACAACACACACAGACAACACGCAAACATTCACACTCCTACAACACACACAGACAACACATTCAAACACACACAGACAACACGCAAACATTCAAACTCCTACAACACACACAGACAACACGCAAACATTCACACCCTACAACACAGACAGACGCACATGCAAACATTCACACTCCTACAACGCACACAGACAACACGCAAACATTCACACTCCTACAACACACACACAACAGACAACACGCAAACATTCAAACTCCTACAACACACACAGACACAACGCAAACATCACACTCCTACAACACACACAGACAACACGCAAACATTCAAACTCCTACAACGCACAGACAGACAACACGCAAACATTCACACTCCCTACAACACACACAGACAACACGCAAACATTCACACTCCTACAACACACACAGACAACACGCAAACATTCAAACTCCTACAACACACACAGACAACACGCAAACATTCACACTCCTACAACACACACAGACAACACGCAAACATTCAAACTCCTACAACACACACAGACAACACGCAAACATTCACACTCCTACAACACACACAGACAACACGCAAACATTCAAACTCCTACAACACACACAGACGACACGCAAACATTCACACTCCTACAACACACACAGACGACACAAGACCAAGATTCTCAAAATGTGTTAAGGCAGTGTGCGACATAGTTTCCAAATTTTGCTAGCCAGTCAGGCTACCTATACCTGAATGTTACTAGCTCACAAAATAATTCACTAGCCCAAAATTTGAATGTAGAAACTAAGTAAAAGATTACAAAAATAGATGAGAATAAGATATTGTCGGCATGACACGGGTTTCATCATTAAGCTGTTAATGTGATGAACATTTTAATCAGGCCATGATCTTCCATGATTTAAAAGAGAGTGATATATTTTTACAAAATGACCCCATGAATATGCACTAGCCAGTTGGGCGAGTGACTGTTGAGATTTACTAGCCCGACTGTAGTTTTACTAGCCACAGGCTCCAAACAAGCATCACTTCAACTACACAGATTATTTGAACATATTAAACAGTTAATTTCAAATGCCTTTCTTCGAAGACTATATGTTTACGTACTGAAAGAAAAGGCATACGCACATGGAAACACACTCACACATGCATCCACTCAAGCAAGGGTACATACACGTGCACACGCAAACTTATCAACGTACACACATGAACACACTTGCGTACACTCAAGCTCCCAAAACGACCAACATTAACATCAAAATTGACATTCTAAGAATACATAGATAAAATATACTGCTCAGCTGAAATACATCGTAAGATATGCAGGAAGATATTCTCTTCTGGGTTTCTAGACAACAAAGGCTATGATATTAAATTCATCACTTCTATCTACACCAACCTTTCACGATTCAGCCCGTCCAACTACCTGAGCGCGCAACCACCAGCAATCCTCGTACCTCCTATACAGGGCACGTGATCACGTGGGCATGCGAATTGTTGAACGGGTTTTGCGCTTTCAAATAGAAACATAATATCGGGCCAATATTTTCTTTATAAAAGTTTATGCGTCGTCGACCTATATTTGGGGTGGGTTAACGGGTATTGAGACTGCCAGTTATGAAGACCGTCGTGGAGCAGGTAAACAGACATGGACGGATATTTGGGAGATCATTCAATACTGGTTTTCAGAGGAGATATCACTTGTAAAACAGTTTTATCAGTGCGCGTGTACTTAATGTAGCAGGAAAGCCCGATGTAATACAGGTATGAGGTGTTTACATGGACAGGAGGCTTACAATCCAAACATCACAATCAAATTCTGGGGTTTGAACCTACAATCATAACATCGTTGGTCCCGATCCACAAAATCCCGTGAAGACAAAAGAGTTAGAACTGATCTTCAGTAACCCATGCTTGTCGTTAGAGTGAGTGAGTGAGTTTGGTTTTACGCCGCTGTTAGCAATATTCCAGCAATATCACGGCGGGGGACACCAGAAATGGGCTTAACACATTGTACCCATGTGGGGAATCGAACCCGGGTCTTCGGCGTGACGAGCGAACGCCTTAACCACTACGCAATTGCAATTTGGCTACGATGACATGTGTCAACCAAGTCAGCGAGCCTCACCATCCGATCCTGTAAGTCGCCTCTTACAACAAGCACGGGTTACTGAAGATCAATTCTAACCCGGATCTTCGCGGGTACCCTTCAGGGATAAACATAGAGCCCCATTAATAACGCATGTGACATGCGAAGGATTTACTCTCGCCCTAAAAAACAAAAACAACAACCCCAAATACAACAGAAAACATGCTTCAGCTATTTTAGAATTTATATCAAATAACTTTGTTGTCTTCATCGCTTTGTTTGGCATTATCTAACAGGAAACATAAATCCATCCGAAATTAGAATTTTCATTTCATAACAATATCAAACTGATTCATCACAAAGACAATCTTCACTTTCTGTGTCCGGGAAGCCTGTTCGTCATTGTTAAGCACTGTACCGTGACACGAACACACGGAGAGCTGAGATTGTGCTGGTGATCTTGAATCATTTATCTGAAACAAGGAGGCCAAAACAAATAACAGTGGAACAGTATCGTGAACACGCTGGTCAGACACGTTATCACATCGATGACCCTCGACTTCCTACTCTTTTCAAATAGATTCTTGAATACATTTTTATTTATGCCAACATCCCGAGCGATCGCAAAAAAACAAAATGTCGGCTAAGAGACAGAATGCATGATTTTGTTTGCTTCTTCAGCAATGTTCCAGCTATATGGCGGCGGTCTGTAAACAATCGAGTCTGGACCAGACAATCCAGTGATCAATAACATGAGCATTAATCTTCGCAATGGGGCTACGATGACATGTGTCAACCAAGTCAGCGAGCCTGACCACCAGATCCCGTTAGTCGCCTCTTACGACTAACATGCGTTACTGAAGATCAATTCTAACCCGTATCTTCACAGGTCTCTACAGTCAACGTCATGAGCATCGATCTAGCATTTGGGATACCATGACATTTGTTTACCTGAACACACGATCCTAATAGTAGCTTCTCAAGCAGAATGGAATGCTGAAGACCAATTCTAACTCGGATCTTCAAGGGTAACAAAGAGTTTCTGAAGCAAGTGATCGTCTGTCATCGTAGCTCATGGTGTCAATCACTGGATTGTCCGGCCCAGATGAGTTTCAGACAGCAATTGGCGTTTAACAGCGAAAAGGATATACTGATTTAAAGATGTGACGATTGGTGACCTCACCTTGACCTGAGATGGAGACCCTGACCTTGACGTGACCTCAGGCTCTCCAGCCACTGTTTTACGACTGGATAGTTCACCCGCATCCATTCAATGTTGGACTTGGTCTGAGTAATCGCCTGTTCGAGATCCTGGCGCCCGGCCCGAGGTTAGAATGCGTCACCCTGACGAATTCCTCCAGCTATACAAACGACATGGCGGAATTAGCTTCTGAATCACACATCATCAACGTGTACAGAACATCTTACAAACACATGATAATGATCCCTGGATCTAAAGGGTGGGCGAATGTGGTATGTTCGGAAGTGAGTGAGTGAGTTTAGTTTTACGCCGCATTCAGCAATATTCCAGCTATATGGCGGCGGTCTGTAAACAATCGAGTCTGGACCAGACAGTCCAGTGATCAACAGCACAGCATCGATCTGCACAATAGGGAACCGATGACATGTGTCAACCAAGCCAGCGAGCCTGACCACCCGATCCCGTTAGTCGCCTCTTACGACAAGCATTGGTTACTGAAGGTTCATGCTAACCCGGACCCACATGGGTGGTATGTTCGGAAGGCTCATACAAGGCGCCGCGGTAGTAAGCGCAGGCTGCCTGGATCGATCCCCACTTGTGACCGGGTGTAAAAACCTTGGAGCTAACATTACATGTAGGCTCTTTCAGTGTTGTCACTACTCCTACTGTGCACTACACCACCCTGTCAACGTAAAACAACCCACGAATCCGATGGAAGGTGACCAGAGGGTGGGGGCAGGATCATGTGCGGACATCTAGTTACGGGTATAGTAACGTGCGAATAAATTGGACAAAATACTGTGACTATGTGTCCCAGTTCACCGAGCTGAACATGGGTACCTTGTGAGGATGAGGCTGTGTGATAACTCATAACTAACAGGCTGCATGAGTTGAATACTCCCCAGGGAGTTGAGTTGGTTAAAAGAATGCCCGAAAAAGACATCCGTTGATCAAGGGAACACTCCAGCACCATGAACATGTACTAATTGCGTGGATATGTGCGCTATATAAATATCCTATATTGTCATTTGAGCCCCTTCATCGATGCAGGATCCGGTGATTGAGGTTCCAATCTCTGATATTTCCACTTATGATCCTTATCTAATTGTACGTTAAGTGCCAACTGGGTTTCACCAATGACATGTGTCATATGTAAGCTTCACCCACGTGCTGTGGTATATCATTTGACTGATATTCACACATATAGTTTGGCATGAAATGCATGTGGACCCGGTTTTTTGTAAATATCTCTTCATCCAATGACCCAATCGATCTCAAACTGTGCAAGTGGATGTTTTGTCAGACAACCTAATCACATTGTAAAATCACCGATTTTATGTATTTGTATTAAAGAATCTGTCTATGTAACTGTCAAAAAAATAAACAGCAGAACGCAGACGGCTTGCAGAGGGAGGGAACCAATGACCTGTAACAGCGGCAGTGTTGGGTCATAAAGGTAAATGGACGTGCAGTTCATTATAGTTACCTGTGCACTGCACAGTGATAGACCGTTTGGAACATTCACATTGACTACTTCTAGCTGTCATCATGAAAGCTTATTCAGATGATGCTAAACGTTTAATTAGAAAAGTGTTGAATGTTTTTAAAAAAGAGAGCAAACGTAGCAAACCGATTTATAAGGTGTCGGATTACATGAAACTACAACTTTTGCTCTTGGCATGAAAAAGAACATCGATGCTAAAAATTGTGAAAAATAAACCAACAACCAATAAACAAAACCTTGTACAAAAAGGTAGGCATCCAAAGTTAGATTCTTTTGACATCAGGGTCATCAGCATACCTGACCTACATTGACGAACGCTGACCTTTACGACCCAACACCGGTCGCTGTTCCAGGTCATTTTCCCTCTTTTTTTCTCTCTCTCTCTTTCTCTCTTTCTCTCTCTCTCTCACTCTCTCCTTTTTTTCTCTCTTATCTCTCTCCTCTCTCCCCTCTCTCTCTCTCTCTCTCTCTCCTCGCTCTCTCTCACTCACCCTCTCTAGCCTCCTGTACTCTCTCTCTCTCTCCTCTCTCCCTCTTTTCTCTCTCCCTCTCTTTTCTCCCCTCCCTCTTTCTCTCTCCTCTCTCTCTCTCTCTCCTTCTCTCCTCTCTCTCTCTCTCTCCTTTCTCTCTCTCTCTCTCTTTCTCTCTCTCTCTCTTTTTCTCTCTCTCTCTCTTTCTCTTTTCTCTCTCTTTCTCTCTCTCTCTCTCTCTCTCTCTCTCTCTCCCTCTCTCTCTCTCTTACCCACTCTCTCTCTCTCCCCTTTTTCTCTCTATCTCTCTCTCCTCTCTCTCTCTCTTCTCTCCTCTCTCTCTCTCACCCACTCTCTCTCTCTCCTCTCTCTCTCTCTTTTCTCTCTTTCTTTCTCTCTCTCCTTTCTCTCTCTCTCTCTCTCTCTCTCTCTCTCTCTCTCTCTCTCTCTCTCTCTCTCTCTCTCTCTCTCTCTCTCTCTCTCTCTCTCTCATCTCGTCTCTCTCTCTCTCTCTCTCCTGAAGCCTTCATCATGTTTAATGCCTGTCTTACCTCATCCAGCATGGCCTGGGTGTGTTGAACGGTTGCAGTAGCCGCTTTAATCATCGACGTGAAGGTGCCGACGCTGGCGCTGTAGCTGTCGAGAGAACATTATAGGGTTAGCTAAAATAATGCAGTTTGATTGAACTGTTCCATGTATTTAGCATGAGGTCAAGGTTAACGTAGAACCTCGTTTCCGCCAGACGTATCCAGCAGAATAAAGGGGTCATTGGAGTCATGTGGAGTGAATGGAGATAACTTTACGCCGCTTTACGTAATATTCAAGGGATATCCTGACAAGGGGCACACGTTAATGGCCTTCACCAATGATTAAGATGGAGGTTCGAACCGGGTTTTCGACGTGGTAGCGAGTGACTCATTCACTGGGTCAATACAACGCACATATATATCAATTGACAATTGGCAGACATTGTCATTGTGTGCGTGGACGAATAAGAGTGGTTGTTTCTATATCAAGAAATGCAAATGACTAATAGTTGACCGATTATTTTTTCATCAAGAAACTTCCACATACATAAAAGAAATATAACATAACGTGAAATAACATGATAACATCTCTCTCTCTCTCTCTCTCTCTCTCTCTCTCTCTCTCTCTCTCTCTCTCTCTCTCTCTCTCTCTCTCTCTCTCTCTCTCTCTCTCTCTCTCTCTCTCTCTCTCTCTCGCTCTACCTCTCTCTACCTCTCTCTCTCGTCTCACTCGTTGCAAACATAAATATACATAGGCATTAAAATCAATCATTTAGTCATTTATCTGTGGTGTAGTGGTTAGAGCGTCCGCCCGGATAGCGGAAGGTCGCGGGTTCGATCCCCGACCGCGTCATACCAAAAGACGTTAAAATATGGTACTTGTTGGTCCCTGCCTGGCGCTCGGCATTAATCGGTACAACAAGGACTGCTCGGAGTCAGTATAATGTGTCTGAGTGGGGTATTCATGCTTCACTGCGGCGTGGTATCTCAGTGGGCTAGCACTATAAAACCAGCTTCAGTCTGGGCTAGCACAAGCAGCCGCACATACACATACACACGCATGCACGTCGTCCTATGAGGGAAATATTCTCAAGCACGACGTAAAACCCAATTTCACCTCGCCTCACCTACATAATGTTGGAGGAAAGTCAGACGGGAAAGGTCATTTATGAGAGACATGTAAAATACATATGCAAACACAAATCCATAAGAGTGTATTTTTAAATTTCTAACAATTGGATTACAAATCTGTAGATAAATGATAGTTCTTTGTGCATCAGGTGTATGTCAGACAGTCAAAAATGTTTTATTTTTGTCCTTCGAGGAAATAAAAATCGGCGAAGCATAACCGAGTAAACACACATCTTCAAACGCCACCCAAACGGACTACGAGACATTAAAATCATGAATAATGGTTGGTCAAAAAAATGAAAAAGACATAGTCATGTTGTTAAGTTAACACTGAGAAATTAGTGTTCATATGCGTACGACCACGCGTAACTTCCTTACAATCTGTAGTGAAAACACACGTATCAACCCGCTGATAGACAGATATTCAACAGAAACGTTTTCTTCTTGTTGGCAAACTAAATTAAACATTAAAACCTCTCTCACTGTGGAGTCTTTGAAGGGCATTAAGAAGTGATACATATAAAAGCAAGAATTGTATGGATGTCAACTTCTTTATTGTGAAGGGTCACGACGTTTCGAAGTATATTCTTACTCCTTCATCAGGTGAATGATGAAATAACTAACTGATGAAGTTTATGTAGTTGATATGTGAAAGTGTGAAATATCTGTTAAACTAAGTTCGGCCTAACTACAGTCTCAGTGGTAGAGAGATAGGAAACGGAGAAAAAGGACTTTACTGAGGGGAAATTAGTGCAGAAATTAGCAATGCGGGGTTTTTGTAAGTCCAAAAAAGACTTATTTGGAACAGACCATGGCTTTATGCAAATTAGTGTGCAACAATATTGTATTACAAAGGACACTTTTTAAATGCCCAATTTGAAATTAGACGTAGCTTCATTATAAACGATAGCTGACGTAAAAAATAATAACTTTTATGCCGAAACTATTAAGGATGTAGCTACCATGCAGTCTTACTGTCACTATAAAAAGAAACAGATAGGAGGGGTCGCCTCAAAAGCAAAACCTGGGGTCGGGCTTGGGGATAGAGATATCAGCTAAGATAAGATAATCCTTTAGGGCAATTATACTGGGGAGGTACACGGCACGTCACAACAATTTACAAATAATATCCAGTCCTGTCGATCTTCGGGTGGTCATGCCACCTTTATACTACGATGCGTTTCTATGGTTTTCGGGTATCATACTCTCTTACATATCTCAACATAAACTTTATGAAAGAAAGACACGTAAGATGTTAATCAGTAGATGAGACATTGTCAACACACATGACAAAGCACAAAATATCTTTGAGATGACCCCTTGTGCCTGTAGGCAGCACGTGCATTTCATGCCAGGTGAGTCGACGGTCCGTCGTCATACCTGGCTGAGCGATCTAATTGTCATCTACAGTCTGATCTATTGTTTTCAGCAGCTATTCGTAATTTTTCTAAGTTTTGCCCGATTTTACGAGTACACATGCTTTTCTAGATATCGTATTACGCATCCCACTGAACGCCCAGTTAGACCGAAGTGGATCATTTCGACATATGCATATGCTATTTGCAATTGTGTCAATTTTCGGGATACAGAGTAACAGCCTAAAAACAGTTTTTTCTATTTCCGACAGTACTATAGTGTTCGCTCATCCAGTGAAATAATGTTCGCTTATTTCGTCGAATAATCAAAACAGGTTACTATCTTGCGTTGACGTTGTACATTAAACTGCCTCATAGAGACTATCCCAAAACAAAACGTATGTCGTACATAGTATATTCACATTTAAAAGTCATTGTCAGAGATGTCTGTCATTCTCAAGAGATTTGTTAGATATTGGGCGATGGCCTTGAACAGTTCGCCATTTTACTTCAGTAATTCAACTAAAGGTTTTAATAACTCCTACGCATAAATATTTTCCATGGAGCAATATTTCGTTTAAGGTTTTAACTTTTGAGTTTATGTCGAAATTTACTTGAGTTAGTGAGTGAGTCAGTTTAGTTTTACGCCACTTTCAGCAATATTCCAGGGTATATCACGGCGGGGAACACCAGACATGGGCTTATCACATTGTACCCGTGGGGAATCGAACCCGGATCTTCGGCGTGAGGAGCGCACGCTTTAACCGTTAGGCTACCCAGCCTTCATTTCTTGTCAATAAAGTTTGTCAGCAAGTAGCCCGGTTACATGGCGAGAGTGACAGGACGAGAGGTGGCTGCTTACACTGACGTCCGCGCCTTTCACGTATTTCCCCATTTCTGTGACTTATACCCAGCCAGAATATCCTTATAACGAGGTATACCTCTCTGAGCCCCGACATAAGGTCAAAGAGAAAGAGCCACTGTTCAGCTGGAAAGAACAGGTTACGTAAAGGTAGGTTTGGGCCGATGTTCGTGAAGCCTAGCATTAAGCTACTTGTATGCTTATGTTACATGTAGAACCGCCGGGCCTGTCAGTTGTATAGTATTAGTGTTGTAAACATATTGCCTTTTGTTCGACAGATAATCCGTCCTGTGGGAGTTCAACGTGAGTTTGTTCACGTAAGACAAATACGCTACTTGTACTGTGGTGGTTAGGTAGAATAAATCATTAAGTAACTAAAATATCCATGAGACATGGTCATTTTTTAATTCCAGTCAAATCAACCTGTACTGGCTGTGTAATCTGATATCAGAAAGGAATTCTGAAATGGGGGTAGCCTCGTGGTTAAAGCGTTCACTCGTCACGCCGAAGGCCTGGGTTCGATTCTCCACATGGGTACAATGTGTGGAGACCATTTCTGGTGTCCTCTGCCGTGATATTGCTGAAATGTTGCTAAAAGCGGCGTAAAACCCACAATTTCCTCACTTACTCACTTAGTGGTGCTACAAGTTACGCTGGACCAAACCAGAATCCGTAGTTTAACAAGCACCTTTCGTAGGGAGCCTTCTGTGTAGCCTGAATCATCTGACAGCTGTGATTGGATGATTTTTGGTTAGATTTTTGTGGTTTTCCCAGTGTCCATCCATCCAGTAATTAAAACTAACCACATTTTTTAATATTTTGTGCTGTCCTTTTTTACATGATGACTTATGCTGAATGTGACCACAGGAATTTTCAAGCAGTTGACATTTTGTGCGGAACTGGGGTTGTCTGTTTAGCTTCCTGCTCTCGGAAAAGGAGCTGACTTAGGTATAGTCCGTTTGGCTCAAAAGCGGACCGATGAATAATCCTAACTCGAAAACTAATCAACATAAATACTCCCTTGAAACAATGATCATAATCAAAACTTCAGACCAACTCTGTGCGAGAAAGAATGGAGACGGCACAGCACAGGTTAATGAATCAACTTTGTCGGCACTTGTGCACGTGCTTCTCTAACACCTGGCTGTCCCTTTTCTCTGCACTCCTCCCTCGTAACAAATAGTGAACTGTGTCAATATTTTAATGATAGTTTGTTAAACAAGTTTTTTAATTTTAGGACATAAATTCTGCAAACAAATCACAGAGTTGGTCTGATGTTTTGATTATGATCAGAGTTTCATTGATTATTATATATTTACTAGTTTTCGAGTTAGATTGCAATTCATCGGTCCGCTTTTGAGCCAAACGCACTATAGTGCTTTTATAATTCTTTTGCTTCTTTAAGGCCAGACTATGCACACATGTACACGTAATAGCTATTGATGGCTTAGTTATGTTGTTATTATATATAATGTTACCATAGATGTCAATGGTAAAATATTTGGTTGTGTGTAACCTAAATAATATTATTTATACTCCCCCCAATACACTCTTGCAGTCGGGCGTGTTACTTTCCCATGCTCAGGTCTTCCAGCTATTCACACCGTTTTGAATAATTCAACGTTCAACGTTCTTTCGTATGCGGCGTAATCGTAATTTGAATACTCCAACGCCCAACCCGCATAGGTGCACGTGCTGTCCTCCACGAGTCCTCTCTTTCTCCATTGATACAATATGCTAAAGCGCTGGCATTGAGAAGAGACCCATTCACCAGAATTTCTCTTACACAACTATCTTACTGCACAGGTGGGCATGACTCAGACAGGTGTGTAATTTATACAAGATGGAGTTTTTCATCTGTGAGTGAGTGAGTATGGTTTTACGCCGCTTTTCGGCTACCCTAAACAATGCAAAAATGCTACCCGAGTTAATGTGAGAGGAAACTCGAAGCGAAAGTCACAAACTGTTACCACAACGAGGTATAAATCCGGTATATCGAGGGTCTGGAATAGAGGGGTTTTACTGTACATACCTACTCAGTTCGAAGGGTATCGTATTTCTCCCTGATGAAGTCCCACACGAACGGCTGGGCGAAGGCGTTGATCCCTGGAGCTGTCGCAATGACACCGGGGCCATCTTGTTTAGGGATCTCACTCGGCGTTATAGCTCGCTCCAGCAGCCTGAAACACGTGTCTCTCACTATTGTTTGTTTGTTTGTGTTGTTGATTTTGCGTTTGTTTGTGTTGTTAATATTGTGTTTGTCTGTTTGTTTGTTTGTTTGTGTTGTTGATTTTGTGTTTGTTTGTTTGTGTTCTTGTTGATTTTGGGTTTGTTTCTTTATTTGTGTTGTTGATTTTGGGTTGTTTTGTTGTGTTGTTGATTTTGCGTTTGTTTGTGTTGTTGATTTTGTGTTTGTTTGTTTGTGTTCTTGTTGATTTTGCTTTTATTTGTGTTGTTGATTTTGTGTTGTTGATTTTGCGTTTGTTTGAGTTGTTGATTTTGTGTTTGTTTGTTTGTGTTGTTGATTTTGTTTGTGTTGTTTATTTGTGTTTGTTTGTTTGTTTGTGTTGTTGATTTGTGTTTGTTTGTTTTTGTTGTTGATTTTGTGTTTGTTTGTTTGTGTTCTTGTTGATTTTGTGTTTGTTTCTTTATTTGTGTTGTTGAATTTGTGTTTGTTTTTTTGTGTTGTTGATTTTGCGTTTGTTTGTTTGTGTTGTTGATATTGTGTTTGTTTGTTTGTGTTGTTGATTTTGTGTTTGTTTGTGTTGTTGATTTTGTGTTTGTTGGTTTGTGTTGTTGATTTTGTGTTTTATTTATGTTGTTGATTAGTGTTTGTTTGTTTTTTGTGTTGTTGATTTTGCGTTTGTTTCTTTGTGTTGTTGATTTTATGTTTGTTTGTGTTTGTGTTGTTGTTGTTTTATGTTTGTTTATTTGTTTGTCTGTTTGTTGCTTAACGTCCGCCTTGGTGACTACAACCTTGCTATAATCAGCCTTGCCCGACTGTGATATCTGCTCCACCGAAAGCGCTCTTTAATCAGCAGCAGCAGTATCGTCGTCATCAGACTCTATACATTGCTTCCGTGGCTGGCAGTTGTTAGGTTCAACTATGCAAAAATGTTTTAAATAGGCTTTAAATGACGTCACTTAGAGACCTCAACAGACCAATCCCCACCCCTCAACCCATCACAGCAACGCCACATATTGACGTCATGTACGATTGGCGACTGCAGTGTGTACAAGCCTATGAGGGTCCGCGCTGAAACATGTACAGATCTCTTACATCTCAATGATGAAGGCTTCCTGAGAACAAGCTAGCGCTCTCAGCATGTCGCTCTTGGTGGACAACGACGTCTCCGCTTGGTAGCTGTCGTAGAGGTGGTACCAGTCGTCGGCCACGCCCTCCGATATACCCGTGCACAGGACCGTCAATAACAGTTCCGGGTTGATTCTGACAACATACAGATACTGAAGTATTGACTTTAAGAAATGACATGTGACGTGAATGAGTGAGTGAATAAAGTTTTACGCCGCTTTTAGCAATATTCCAGCAATATCACGGCGGGTTACACCAGAAATGGGTTTCACACATTGTACCCATGTGGGGGAATCGACACGGATCCTTGGCATAACGAGCCAACGCTTTAACCACTAGGTTACCCTACGCCCCGTTTCTCTGATGTCTTTTATTCCAGTACTGAAGCGGCAAGAGGGTCTGGCACGAGTCGCATATTACAGTTTGTTTGTTTTGCTTGTTGTTAACGCCGCACGCAGCAATATTCCAGCCACACGGCCCCGCACTGTGACTAAATCGAGTCTGGACCAGACAATCCAGTGACTGACATCATGAGCATCGATCTACGCAATTGGGATACGATGACGTGTGTCAACCGAGACAGCGAGCCTGACCACCCGATCCCGTTAGTCGTCTCTTACGACAAGCATGGGTTTCTGAAGACGATTTTAGATGTCAGAATCATTGGATCTTGCCCAATATCACTCTCACTTCTTGTTACCTGTGAAGGTCCGGCTTAGAATGAACCTTTAGTAAACAATGCTTGTCGTAAGAGGCGACTAACAGGATCGGGTGGTCAGGTTCGCTGACATTTTTTTTTATTTTTTTATTTTTTTTTAAATATTTTTATTCATTTCAGATAGGTATAAGGTTCGCTGACTTGGTTTACACATGTCATCAGTTCCCAATTGCGCAGATGGATGCTCATGCTGCTGATCACTGGATTGTCTGGTCCAGACTCGATTATTTACAGATCGCCGCCATAAAGCTGGAATAAAGCTGAAAACTAAACTCACTCACTCACATGTTGTTTGAAATGACTTCTGCCACACTCCCGAGTACGAAGAGCATTGTCATATGTTGCAACCGACGTCAAACATGTTTCGAAATTGAAACCTGCTGTAGAGTGCGCCGTCACTACGTACCCTAATCCTCCTACAGTACATTTGCATTTGTATATCCCTTTCACAACGTGTCACGGTTTCGTGACAATGACAATGGCGCTGAATGTATTTTGGGTATTTGAGCACTAGTATACCCCACTTGGTGGCCTGTTTCTTGTCAAGTCAGAATGACATTTCAACGATGAGGCGAATAAAAAAATGGCTGCACGTAGTACAGTCAACCGACAGTGGGATAACAATCAAACCTTCAAAGCCTCAGGTAAATTACTTATCAAAACTGGCCTTTTAAGTCGTCATAAACCCACACCACCAACTAGTGCCAAAATAGAAATAATAACACTAAAACAAAACATAAAAACAAACAAAACAAATAACAACCCCACAACCCCATAGTACATCCCCTCTGCAACTTCTGACAAATTTCCAAATTCAGAATTCGTACAAATTTAATCATGCAACCCTGGCTTCCCCCCTCTCTCGATCTAACACTTAATGGCCTGGCGGGAAATACGCATTATGTCGGAAAGCGCGCGTTAAATCTCCAAATCATCATCATCATCATCACCACCATCATCATCATCATCACCATCATCATCATCATCATCATCATCACCACCATTATCATCATCATCATCACCATCGTTATCAACAACAACATCATCATCACCACCACCACCGTTATCATCATCATCATCACCACCACCACCGTTATCATCATCATCATCATCAACATCATCATCATCATCATCATTATCATCACCACCACCACCACCATTATCATCATCTTCATCATCATCATCATCATCATCATCGTCACCATCATCGTTGGGATTGGAAGCGACCTACGTAAATACTTCGCGTTGTCTGAGATTCGACATATCCATAAAGGGATTACCAAAGAAGAAATCCGCAAGTTTAGATTTCGAGACAACTTAAAATGCGACACATCACAATTAGACATAAAGGCGTTTGACTGTCGTTCGATGTTATGCTTGGGCGAAATGTGTTCCGTCCCTGTTTTACCTTTTTATCTCAAGTATATCGAACAAAAAAACACAATTTTTTCAAGCTATCCGGAATGTCCTACATACCAAATATGAACAATGAACACTCCCTAGATTTTGGCTGTAATCGAATTTCAGCAAGTTTAATCAATCACTCAGCATGCCCGACTTACAGAATATCACAATAAACGGTCCCTGGTTTAACGCAACAATGTTTAATCAACCACGCATTATTTCCAGCTCTCAAAATAGCTTGAGAAAAGGGGGGTGCACAGTCCATTTTCACGAGAGTTGCAATGGTCATTTAATAAGCTTTCAGGACAAAATGGGGTTGCGCACCCCTGCACAGTGAGTGAGTAGGGCTATCAGCAATATTCCAGCTATATCACGGCGGGGCACAACAGAAATGGACTTCGCACATTGTACCCATGTGGGGAATCGAACTCGGTTTTCGGCCTGACGAGCCAACGGTTTAACCACTGGGCTACCACACCGCCCATCGAGAACCGAGGCCCCGTTATGTCTTGGGGGAACAGAGGAGGGTGTCTCATTCTTTGTATAGTATCAGAATGAAATTCTATATGTTTACAAGATTTCACACAATGTACAAATACATACCTGACTGTATTCATGTCACGTTGGTTTACAAACTACTTCAAGGAACCATAAGGCCTTTACATTGCCCACGGGGATTTGCATAAATGAAGCTCTGAGAGCAGGTTGCACCAGTATGTGTTCTTATAATATCTACGGGGCGGTGGGGTAGTCTAGTGGTTAAAGCGTTGGCTCGTCACGCCGAAGACCCGGTTTCGAATCCCCACATGGGTACAATGTGTGTAGCCCATTTCTGGTGTCCCCCGCCGTGATGTTGCTGGAATATTGCTAAAAGCAGCGTAAAACCAAACTCAGTCAGTCAGTCTAATATCTACTTCCATTCAACACAGGGCGGTGGGGTAACTTAGACCCGGTTCGAATCCCCACATGGGTACAATGTGTGAAGCCCATTTCTGGTGTCCCCTGCAGTGATATGGTTGGAATGTTGCTAATGGCGACGTACAACCATACTCACTCACTCACTCGAGTCAACAAGAGGTAGAATGTAAGGGAACCAAATACCAATGGATTATACTAATTGCAGCATGCAAGATACATCTGTTATACTGTAAATGCGTTTTATAAACCATACGCTATATCTTTAATTCGTCACATCAAAAGTGAGTGACTGAGTCTAGCTGTACCCGGCTTTTAGCAATATTCCAGCAACATCATGGCAGGGAACACCAGAAATGGGCTTCACACGATGTACCCATGTTGGGAATCGAACCTGTGTCTTCTCCGTGACGAGCGAACGCTTTAACCACTTGGCTACCCAATCGCCAGTCATATCATAAACTGGGATATTCCTGGTGGGCGACGTGCAATTGAAATTAGCGTTTCACTCACAAAAGTGAGTGAGTGAGTGAGTTTGGTTTTACGCCGCTTTTAGCAATATTCCAGCAATATCACGGCGGGGGACACCAGAAATGGGCTTAACACAACGGCGTGAGTAGCTGATCATGTTGATGAGATCAAATATACGCCAGTTTTATGGAGGGGTGGGCTAGCCTTGCGGTTAAGCGTTCGCTCGTCATGTGAAAGACCCGGGTTCGATTCTCCACATGGGTACTATGTGTGAAGCTAAATTATCTTGTGCCACACCGTGATATTGCTGGAAGATTGCAGAAGGTGGCGTAAAACCTTACTCACTCACTATTCCGGTTTTATCGTTGATACCCACTCTAATACATGGTACTGTATTGAAAGCAGCTACAATGGTGCTGTATTGAAAGCAGCTACAATAAGTACAATTATTAAACGTGTTCAATTTGACGCGGCCCTAGCATCGAACCACCGAACGCCCGCTCTCCATTAGGGCTGCGCAATATAACCGGTTTACCGGTATTTACCGGTTCAGACCTGAAAACGATACGTATTGCGATACGCCGATCGAAAACCGGTATTTTGACTTGCATTCGCAAAATTTCGTCACACTCGGAAATCTTCGGATATGTCCTTGTTTCATTTGTGCCGAATATTATTCATATTTTTATTTTATCAGTTGTTATTAAAGCCTAATCAAGCCTAGTGATTTTGTTGTATTTTTGCTCTATAAATCAAGAATTAACTCGATTATAAGTAGTTTTTTGTTTCAAAATACTTCATGCAATATATTGCAATACATATCGCAATACATGCTTTTCGCATCGCAATATATCGCAATATGAAAATTCTCTGCAATACCCATCCCTACTCTCCATGCAGACACTCTCCGATCTATTCTAAAAACGTTCGATTAAAAATACACCCCAAATCGAGAATGTTATCTGGCATAAAGCCTTCATATAATGGGTGATATATCGAGGGCTGGTTATAGTCGAAATCCGTATCTAAACCTGTCGGTGTTTCTCGCTGTCGTCGACTCACTTGTTATCCTGTGGGTTGTCCTTCCATGCCAGGAACAGATCCCTGGCCTCCTGCAGACAGTCCTGGTTGTAGACACCGCATGCTGCACTGGACACCTCACGCTGGGCAAACCTACAATGTCAGGTTGTCATATTGAAGACACTGTAGTCCGTACTGGACAACTTACTGGGGAGGAAACCTACAATGTCAGGTTGTCATATTGAAGACACTATAGTCCATGATAATTATAGTCCGTATTGGTCAACTTACTGAGGAGGAAACCTACAATGTCAGGTTGTCATATTGAAGACACTATAGTTCGTATTGGACAACTTACTGAGGAGGAAACCTACATTGTCAGGTTGTCATATTGAAGACACTATAGTTCGTATTGGACAACTTACTGAGGAGGAAACCTACAATGTCAGGTTGTCATATTTAAGACACTATAGTTCGTATCGGACAACTTACTGGGGAGGAAACCTACAATGTCAGGTTGTCATATTGAAGACACTGTAGTCCGTATTGGACAACTTACTGAGGAGGAAACCTACAATGTCAGGTTGTCATATTGAAGACACTATAGTCCGCATTGGTCAACTTACTGGGGAGGAAACCTACAATGTCTGGTTGTCATATTGAAGACGCTGTAGTCCGTATTGGACAACTTACTGAGGAGGAAACCTACAATGTCAGGTTGTCATATTGAAGACACTATAGTCCGTATTGGACAACTTACTGAGGAGGAAACCTACAATGTCAGGTTGTCATATTGAAGACACTGTAGTCCGCATTGGTCAACTTACTGAGGAGGAAACCTACAATGTCTGGTGGTCATATTGAAGACACTATAGTCCGCATTGGTCAACTTACTGGGGAGGAAACCTACAATGTCAGGTTGTCATATTGAAGACACTATAGTCCGCATTGGTCAACTTACTGGGGAGGAAACCTACAATGTCAGGTTGTCATATTGAAGACACTATAGTCCGCATTGGTCAACTTACTGGGGAGGAAACCTACAATGTCAGGTTGTCATATTGAAGACACTATAGTCCGCATTGGTCAACTTACTGGGGAGGAAACCTACAATGTCTGGTTGTCATATTGAAGAAACTATAGTCCGCATTGGTCAACTTACTGGGGAGGAAACCTACAATGTCTGGTTGTCATATTGAAGAAACTATAGTCCGTATTGGACAACTTACTGGGGAGGAAACCTACAATGTCAGGGTTGTCATATTGAAGATACTATAGTCCGTATTGGACAACTTACTGAGGAAAACCTACAATGTCAGGTTGTCATATTGAAGACACTATAGTTCGTATTGGACAACTTACTGGGGAGGAAACCTACAATGTCAGGTTGTCATATTGAAGACACTGTAGTCCGTATTGGACAACTTACTGAGGAGGAAACCTACAATGTCAGGTTGTCATATTGCAGACACTATAGTTCGTATTGGACAACTTACTGAGGAGGAAACCTACAATGTCAGGTTGTCATATTGAAGACACTGTAGTCCGTATTGGACAACTTACTGGGGAGGAAACCTACAATGTCAGGTTGTCATATTGAAGACACTGTAGTTCGTATTGGACAACTTACTGAGGAGGAATGTCCTGATTGAATACACTACAGTCCGTATTGGACACCATCTGAGTAGAAACCTACAGTGTCAGAATGTCCTGATTGAATACACTACAGTCCGTATTGGACACCATCTGAGTAGAAAACCTACAGTGTCAGAATGTCCTGACTGAATACACTACAGTCCGTATTGGACAACACTCTGAGTGGCAAACCTACAGTGTCAGACAGTCCTGACTGAATACACTACAGTATGTATTTAACTTTCTAAGCGGCAAACCTACAGTGTCAGACAGTCCTGACTGAATACACTACAGTATGTATTTAACTTTCTAAGCGGCAAACCTACAGTGTCAGAATGTCCTGACTGAATACACTACAGTATGTATTTAACTTTCTAAGCGGCAAACCTACAGTGTCAGAATGTCCTGACTGAATACACTACAGTATGTATTTAACTTTCTAAGCGGCAAACCTACAGTGTCAGACAGTCCTGATTGAATACACTACAGTATGTATTTAACTTTCTAAGCGGCAAACCTACAGTGTCAGACAGTCCTGATTGAATACACTACAGGTATGTATTTAACTTTCTAAGCGGCAAACCTACAGTGTCAGACAGTCCTGATTGAATACACTACAGTATGTATTTAACTTTCTAAGCGGCAAACCTACAGTGTCAGACAGTCCTGACTGAATACACTACAGTATGTATTTAACTTTCTAAGCGGCAAACCTACAGTGTCAGACAGTCCTGACTGAATACACTACAGTATGTATTTAACTTTCTAAGCGGCAAACCTACAGTGTCAGAATGTCCTGACTGAATACACTACAGTATGTATTTAACTTTCTAAGCGGCAAACCTACAGTGTCAGAATGTCCTGACTGAATACACTACAGTATGTATTTAACTTTCTAAGCGGCAAACCTACAGTGTCAGAATGTCCTGACTGAATACACTACAGTATGTATTTAACTTTCTAAGCGGCAAACCTACAGTGTCAGACAGTCCTGACTGAATACACTACAGTATGTATTTAACTTTCTAAGCGGCAAACCTACAGTGTCAGACAGTCCTGACTGAATACACTACAGTATGTGCTTTAACTTTGCGGCAAACCTACAGTGTCAGAATGTCCTGACTGAATACACACTACAGTATGTATTTAACTTTCTAAGCGGCAAACCCTACAGTGTCAGACAGTCCTGATTGAATACACTACAGTATGTATTTAACTTTCTAAGCGGCAAACCTACAGTGTCAGACAGTCCTGATTGAATACACTACAGTATGTATTTAACTTTCTAAGCGGCAAACCTACAGTGTCAGACAGTCCTGACTGAATACACTACAGTATGTATTTAACTTTCTAAGCGGCAAACCTACAGTGTCAGACAGTCCTGACTGAATACACTACAGTATGTATTTAACTTTCTAAGCGGCAAACCTACAGTGTCAGAATGTCCTGACTGAATACACTACAGTATGTATTTAACTTTCTAAGCCGCAAACCTACAGTGTCAGAATGTCCTGACTGAATACACTACAGTATGTATTTAACTTTCTGCTGGCAAACCTACAGTGTCAGAATGTCCTGACTGAATACACCTACAGTATGTATTTAACTTTCTAAGCGGCAAACCTACAGTGTCAGACAGTCCTGATTGAATACACTACAGTATGTATTTAACTTTCTAAGCGGCAAACCTACAGTGTCAGAATGTCCCGACTGAATACACTACAGCATGTATTTAACTTTTCTAAGCGGCAAACCTACAGTGTCAGACAGTCCTGACTGAATACACTACAGTATGTATTTAACTTTCTAAAGCGGCAAACCTACAGTGTCAGACAGTCCTGACTGAATACACTACAGTATGTATTTAACTTTCTAAGCGGCAAACCTACAGTGTCAGAATGTCCTTGACTGAATACACTACAGTATGTATTTAACTTTCTAAGCTGGCAAACCTACAGGTGTCAGAATGTCCTGACTGAATACACTACAGTATGTATTTAACTTTCTAAGCGGCAAACCTACAGTGTCAGAATGTCCTGACTGAATACACACCACAGTATGTATTTAACTTTCTAAGCGGCAAACCTACAGTGTCAGACAGTCCTGATTGAATACACTACAGTATGTATTTAACTTTCTGCAGCAAAACCTACAGTGTCAGACAGTCCTGATTGAATACACTACAGTATGTATTTAACTTTCTAAGCAGCAAACCTACAGTGTCAGACAGTCCTGACTGAATACACTACAGTATGTATTTAACTTTCTAAGCGGCAAACCTACAGTGTCAGACAGTCCTGACTGAATACACTACAGTATGTATTTAACTTTCTAAGCGGCAAACCTACAGTGTCAGACAGTCCTGACTGAATACACTACAGTATGTGTTTAACTTTCTAAGCGGCAAAACCTACAGTGTCAGAATGTCCTGACTGAATACACTACAGTATGTATTTAACTTTCTAAGCGGCAAACCCTACAGTGTCAGAATGTCCTGACTGAATACACTACAGTATGTATTTAACTTTCTAAGCGGCAAACCTACAGTGTCAGAATGTCCCGACTGAATGTTCACTACAGCATGTATTTAACTTTCTAAGCGGCAAACCTACAGTGTCAGAATGTCCTGACTGAATACACTACAGTATGTATTTAACTTTCTAAGCGGCAAACCTACAGTGTCAGAATGTCCTGACTGAATACACTACAGTATGTATTTAACTTTCTAAGCGGCAAACCTACAGTGTCAGAATGTCCTGACTGAATACACTACAGTATGTATTTAACTTTCTAAGCGGCAAACCTACAGTGTCAGACAGTCCTGACTGAATACACTACAGTATGTATTTAACTTTCTAAGCGGCAAACCTACAGTGTCAGACAGTCCTGACTGAATACACTACAGTATGTATTTAACTTTCACTCTTCAGACACTTGAGGAGAGGGATTAATAACCCTCACCACACAGCAATAATGAAACAGCTTAATTAGCCTACTCAGTGCTCAGGAGAGCCACAGGCCTATAGTACATAATTCATACATACATTTATATTGCCCGAGTAGTAACTTTTACATTTTTTTCAGATATTATTATTTTTCTTTCTTTGCAATGTTGCATGGAATATAAACATTGATAACTTCTGAAGTATTTAAATATTTTAAGCTGTCTGCAGAATGACTGTCTGAAGAATGGGAGATCACCGAACAAATTATCTATCTTCAATATTCACAATGTTTGAGAGAACCAATATATTTACGACTCTATCTGTCCTTCTGCCGGCGTCCGTAAACCATAAAACCTGAAGGCTGCGTCGCTGCTCGATCTCAGGAATTCCTGAAACAGACAAGCTATTGTAAGTAAGGACCACCCGTTTTTAAATGAATGAGTGAGTATGGTTTTACGCCGCTTTTAGCAATATTCCAGCAACATCCCAGCGGGGAACACCAGAAACGGGCTTCACACATTGTACCTATGTGGGGAATCAAACGTGGGTCTTCGGCGTGACAAGCGAACGCTCCATTTAGTACGGATTAGTACATTTAGTTGAGAACGTTATCCTTATATAATCATCCTCACTCCCCCTAGCCATAAATTATGTACGGTCCCTTATAAGGAGCTCGCGAAATCAGAGTTCGACAGAGTACCATGATTTATGGAAGGTTGATTGGACTTGAGGTATCCGTTGTTGGAACAATAAAGCCAATTAGTATTAACTTGTGTATCGAACACAATGGCGTTCGAGGTATCGAGGTTTCACTCTACGAGATAGCAGAATGGATGGCTGTTTTCTGAAGAATATTCTATGGATACTGTGATTGTCTCGTTCATCTGGATCAGCTTGTCTCAGACTCACACGCTCACTCACTCACTCACTCACTCACTCACTCACTCACTCTACCTGTAAGGCGGGGTATATCTCGGTGTCCCGGATCATGGCGTCCATGTAGACCAGCTTGTATCAGACCGACTCACTCACTCACTCTACCTGAAAGGCGGGGTATATCTCGGTGTCCCGGATCATGGCGTCTATGTGGACCAGCTTGTCTCAGACCGACTCACTCACTCACTCTACCTGAAAGGCGGGGTATATCTCGGTGTCCCGGATCATGGCGTCCATGTAGACCAGCTTGTCTCAGACCGACTCACTCACTCACTCTACCTGAAAAGCGGGGTATATCTCGGTGTCCCGGATCATGGCGTCTATGTAGACCAGCTTGTCTCAGACCGACTCTTTCACTCTACCTGAAAAGCGGGGTATATCTCGGTGTCCCGGATCATGGTGTCTATGTAGACCAGCTTGTCTCAGACCGACTCTTTCACTCTACCTGAAAGGCGGGGTATATCTCGGTGTCCCGGATCATGGCGTCTATGTGGACCAGCTTGTCTCATACCGACTCACTCACTCACTCTACCTGAAAAGCGGGGTATATCTCGGTGTCCCGGATCATGGTGTCTATGTAGACCAGCTTGTCTCATACCGACTCACTCACTCACTCTACCTGAAAAGCGGGGTATATCTCGGTGTCCCGGATCATGGTGTCTATGTAGACCAGCTTGTCTCGGGCCGTGGTCCACGGGTAGTAGTTCAATTCCGCCGACAGATATTCCAGTGTCTGTAATCCAGTCAGCTGCGCCAGGTAGCCAGCCCTTAAAACACAGATCGACCAAACATATTTTCAGCCATAGAGAGTGAGTGCTGAATGCCATGTCGGTGCCTTGCGCAGACCTCAGCTGCGGTGCATGAGTGAGTTCATATTACACGGTTTTTAAGCAATAGTCCAGCAATATCCTTGCGAAATGGGCTTCACATGTACTCATGTGGGGAATCGAACCCGGGTCTTAGGAGTGACGAGCGGACGCTTTAACCACTAGACTACCCCACCGCCCCCTTATTCCCACCTTCATGAAATCAGGGTTCTCTGGACACGAACACACACCTTACACTATATGGCGGCGGTCTGTAAATAATTGAGTCTGCACCAGACATTCCAGTGATCAACAGCATGAGCATCAATCTACGCAGTTGGGAACCGATGACATGTGTCAACCCATTCGTGACCAACTCGTGTTATTCCGGGACAAGCCGAATAGCGACTCGTGCCCCTCTGGAAGGATTTCATATTGACGCATGAACATCAGAACTACTTTAAACAGGAACGATAACTCTATTCTGGTTTGATTCCAATGGTACTTAATATCACCGAAGTAATCATACATTGTATTGCTGTTTATGTTTTTAAACCTTTTTGATACAACTAAAAGAAGGAGAAAAACTTATTTGTTACAGACTGATTCTGACGTAATCATTACCAGATGTTCACCTTTTATTTCCAATTATATTTCTAAATAGGGTTTGATAATCACAAATGGGATTTGTTTTATTAAATATGTAACTAAAAATTATAAAAGCTACATTAAATCCGAAAGCAGAAACTCAGAAATGACTTTAAAATATTTCTCAAAGTGTACATTCGTGTAAACTTGCTGTCTTACCCCAAGTGGAATTTTAAATGAATTCGCTGAAAAAATATATGAATTACCCAAAAAATGTCAGACTAAAGTGTTCCCAGAGATGTAAAATATGCCCAATGATAAAAATTAAAGTTGATTAGTTACATGCAGATATATGTCTAACATTATTTGTTTTGAAACTCGTTGCGATTTATAATTACATTTCCTAAAATTGTTGGAAGCGCACGTACAATCTCCATAGCAAGCCCGCGAGATCGTCAGAAATACCCTCAGTTGGACCCATGAGAGCCGTTATGTCAACAAACGCACGTGCGTGTATTTGAATCTCTCACCGTCAATCGCATGATTCTTATCAAAAGCTTCATAATAGGCAGCAAAATTCTGTTAGCTAAGTTCTTTGTACTTTCAATATGACGATACATATTTTTCATGATTTTTTAAACAATGACATTAATGCCATAAGCGAGTTAAGTACTCGGGATTATTTTTACCAAAGCACCACAGTCATTTACACGCGTTCTGATTAGTTTGTCGTATTTTCGCACATAACAAGCATCGAGAGGGGGACGAGTCTTCTTGGAGGTTACGGAAAGAGGCGAGTAGTGACGAATGGTGTCAACCAAGTCAGCGAGCCTGACCACTCGGTCCCGTTAGTCGCCTCTTACGACAAGCATGGGTTACTGAAGGCACATTCTAACCCGGATCTTCCCGGTTCTGGACGTAAGGAGGTAGTCAAAGCAAGTCGTGGTACTGTGACGGCGAGGGATGGTGTTCATAATATCAGTCACTGGTTTGGCATTTTTACCTGGCTAAGTCCATGGCGTCGTTGATGATCTGAGCTCGATTTATTGGAATGATCACCTGTAAAAACAAAGATGTATGAATATCAACGGTAGGCAAAAGGTGGAATGGGGCGGGCTGAAGTCCTCAAAGGCAGAGTTACCTGCCTTGGGCACATAAAACAACTGTTTTGATTGTTGTTGAACGCTGCTCAGCACTATTGCACCTGTATGGAGGCGGTCTTCAGCCATCCATGCTTGTCGCAAGAGGCGACTAACGGTATCGAATCGTCAGGTTCGCTGACTTGGTTGACTCATGTCATCGGTTCCAAATTGCGTAGATTGATGCTCATGCTGTTGATCACTGGATTGTCTGATCTATGCTCTATTATTTACAGATAGCTCTAACGTAGCTGGAATATTGGTTTTTGTCTTTCTTTCTGACGTAGATACGATCAAGTATGAACAAATATTGATATATTTTTTATCCTTTTTATTTAAAAAAATATAAACCGATAAATATGTTTCTTCAGGCGACTGACTGATCGGCTCAACTTTGGATCATAGTGGCTATGTGGATGTTCAATTACATGAAATGAAGGTACCCGGGTGCATGTTATCGTGTGCCAAGCGAGTGGATTGATCCTCAGAACTGTTCACCAAACTGAACAATGATTTAAAACATTTATTTCACAGCTACTTGCCTCGTGGTTTGCTTTAAGCTGCTTGATGATGTTCTTCCAGTTGTCTTCATCATAGTTGACGCGATAGTAACCATGGTGACGGATATTACCCAGAATCCAACTCGACTCATCGCTCGGATCCGGTATCGTTACGGTGGTGTCATAAACATCTGAAATGTACATGTGCTACTCGATGATGTCAGCCTTATAAGGAATAGTTTTCAAATATGAGAACGTGAACATATTTGTCGATTTTTATTAGTAGACATTCGGTCTATGCAATATAACCATGTTTTCTGTATATAATCACTATGTGTAATCGTGGAGCCCGTTAAACAAAGCGACTTTAGTTTTCAGATGTCCGTGGCAGTGGGCGAAATAGCCACTGGCCCGCTAGCCCGTGGCTAGTAAAAATCCAGTCGGGCAAGTAAATATCCACATTTACTCGCCCAACTGGCTCGTGAAGATTCATGGGGTCATTTTGTAAATATATCACTCTCTCCGACTTATTAAGTTATAATACACTTTTAAATCATGCACGATTATGGCCTGATACAAATGTTCATCATATTAACAGCTTAATGATGAAACCCGTGTGATGCCAACAATATCTTATTCTCATCTATTTTTGCAATCTTTTGTTTAGTTTCCCCATTCAAATTTCGGGCTCGTGAATTATTTTGTGGGCTAGTAGTTTTCAGGCATAGCTAGCTCGACTGGCTATCATAATTTGGAAACCATTTCGCACACTGGTCTAAGTCCAGGGGTCCGATCCACAAAGCGTTCGTAACCTTACGACCTGTCGTAACTCTATTGTTAAGCACAGGCTTACGAATGCCGTAGCCCTACAAACGTTTTGTGGGTCGGGACCAAGGTTGCATCGGTCATAGTATATCATGTGATCCCTTATTTCTTTCCCTCAGTATATAAAGTGTCTGAGTAGGGTATCCATATCAATGTGTGCCATCGTACCTCAGAAGGTTACAACTATACGACAAGCCTAAGCCAGGACTTGTACAACCCGCCATGCACACATGTGCTTCACCGCGGCAGTTAACCCCGTTTCACGCAGCTTGTCTTGACAGTAGACAAGGTCAACACCTTGGTCGTCCTCTACAGGCCGTGAAGATCCGGGTTAGATTGGTCTTCAGTTACCCATGCTTGTCGTGTGGTAGGTGTCGCTGACGTGGTTGACATTGTCTAAATAATCGATTCTGGACCACACAATCCAGTGTTTGATATGATAAGCTTCAAAAAAAATTTCGATTATCCCCACGATCGTTTTCGTCGCCTCTTAAGACAGGGCCCTTGGGGATCTGATCGGGTTTAAATTGATCTTCAGTAACTCATGCTTGCCGGAATCAGGCGCTCATGACGTTGACTATATACAGACCCGTGAAGATCCGCGTTTGAATTGATCTTCAGTAACCCATGCTAGTCATAAGAGGCGACTAACGGGATCGGGTGGTCAGACTCGCTGACTTGGTTGACACATGTCATCGTGTCCCAATTGCGTAGATCGATGTTCATGCTGTTGATCACTGGATTGTGTGGTCCAGGCTCGATTATTTACAGACCGCCGTAAAACAGCTGGAATATTGCTGAGTGCGGCGTTAAGAAATAAACAAACACTTTAATAATTATACATAACACGGCCTTAAAAAATGATATTTAAAAACGCCGAGACTTGAATTCAAAGAGACTTCAGACACGGAAATATTTGGACGGTGCTGTTGCAAAATTAGAAATATTCAGTGAACATGAACATGGATGAAATGACTCGTTATCTCGCATCTTTTGATTTCACTGCGTTGTTGGTTCGCTGACAAATGCTGTCCTACAGTTGTTGTTATAAAGAGTAAAATTTGTCATCTCCACCTGCCACGATAAACACCACCTATTAATAGATAAACGTCCTTTGAAAATAGACTACAACAAAGGGTCATGTCGAACACAGCTGTTAGTGTATTCTATGCTATTTTCACGGCGTCCAAATTGAATCAGACTCAGTTTATCTTAGCATTCATTAAAGTGAATAAATGAGTATGCTTTTACGCCGCTTTTAGCAATATTCCAGCAATATCACTTCAGGGGATACCAGAAATGGGCTTCACACATTGTACCCATGTGGGAATCGAACCCGGGTCATCGGCGTGACGAGCGAACGCTTTAACCACTCGGCTACCCAGCCGTCATTTCACAAGTCCACAAAAAAAAGTCCAGCTAACGTATTTTTAAAATTGTACCTATCATGGAAATCGAACCCAGGTCCTCGGAGTGACGAACGAACGCTCTAACCACTAGGCTACCCAAATGCCCCAGCTATTATAGTGAAGGGTGATTGTGATGATAATGCTGGAGATCATACACAGTATTAGCAGCAGCATCTTTCCAGTGCCATCAATCAGGACTTGGGTGAGTTGAGTTTTACGCCGTTTTTAGCAATATTCCAGCAATATCACGGCGTGGGACACCAGACATGTATCGATGTGTGGAACCGAACTCAGGTGTTCGTCGTGACGAGCCAACGCTGTAACCATTACGCTACCGCACCGACCTCTATCAGGAATTGAACGCGCCCCGTCGTCTCGTGTTCAACAATTAACAAACAAATGTCGCCGTTGGCCATAAAAAGAGTAGTGCTGCGCAATATAACCGGTTTACCAGTATTTACCGGTTCAGGCATGAAAACGATACGTATTGCGATACGCTGATCGAAAATAGGTATTTTGACATGCATTCGGAAAACTTCGTAACACTCGGAAATCTTCGCATATTTCCGTTTTTTAAGTTGTTTTCCTTTTTTTATTTGTGCCAAATATTATTTACATTTGTTTTTGGTCATGATTAAAAGTTTTAATTAAATCTTAATCAAGCATAGTGATTTTGTTGTGTTTTTGCTTTATGAATCAAGCATTAACTCGATTATACGTAGTTATTTGTTGAAGAAAAATTTCTTGCAATATATTGCAATACATATCGCAATATACGCTTTTGCATCGCAATATATCGCAATATGAAAATTCTCTGCAATACCCACCCCTAAAAAAGAGGCTTGTCCGTGTCCCTTCTGTTGAATAATCTCGCTTTGGTATTGCTAATGATAACGTTTCCGTGAACGTCCTAAAGCCGCCTTACCTGCTGTGTCGTTTCTCAGCATCCAGATGATATCGGCGTCAGTGACGTCGAAGTTCTTCTGGTCGCTCGTGGTGAACGTGAAGGGGATGTTCCAGGTGTAACTGAAGACGTAGAGATATACACAGCACATAGCAATACGTAAGTGAGTGAGTTTAGTTTTACGCCGCACTCAGCAATATTCCAGTTATATGGCGGCGGTCTGTAAATAATTGAGTATGACCTAGATAATCCAGTGATCATCTGCATCAGCATCGATCTACGCAATTGGGATACAATGACATGTGTCAATCAAGTCAGCGAGCCTGACCACCCGATCCCGTTGTACAATACGTAACGGATATAGGTGACATATACATGCGTATGCATCAGGCACTGTTAAACGTATCTTGTACGTATGTAGAGTTAAACATAAACTTGTGTGTACCGGGTAAAGTTATACGTAAACTTATGTCTACCTTGTAAAGTTATGTGTAAACTTACACCAAACAGCTGAAGATAATTTATTAAGAAAAGCGCACGTAAAGTCTCCAGATCATCATCATCATCACGCGAGAATCACGGAAATTGACCTGGGGTAAGTGTACATGTACCAACATGCGAGCCCTCTGAGCCTTAAAAACATTTTATAATTGTACGGAATATAGAGTGTCCGGAATAATGAGGTGTCATATAACGAGGATTCCTAAGTAGAAAGGGTCTTGAGTGTACATGGTAAGTGTAGATGTACCCAAATGATAACCTTGTGAGTTCTTAAAACAGTTTTTTATTGTACGGAATGAAGAGTGTCCGGAGTAATCATGTGTGGAATAACGGGGATTCACAATAAAAAAAGGGTCTTACTTATACGGGGACACATATTTGCCGGGGTCCGAAGAGGCAGGGTCAAACAGGAACCTCTCCTGCGTGAGCCGTATCATCTTGGGGCCAGCCCTGGACACGGTGACCACTGGATAGTTCATCTGTAGCGTCCACGTCTTCATCGTGTCCACCACGACGGCAGTCTTCTTCTCCTCTTCGGCTTGCTGCAACAGTGAGTGAAGAGAGTATATTTCCGTTTGTTGGCCATCGGCCCATGTACAAAAGTATGTACAATTACATATGTATGGCAATTGACAGGTATACGTGTATTATTATTCAACAAGTGCAGATTTACATTTCAGAGTTTTCTTAATAAACTTGGCACATCTAATCAGAATACTCACATCATGTGAGGTCAATAAGAATTTACAAATATTTGGTAAAGAATCCCAATTTGGTATATACTTCTTTCTTAAAGAAACATGCATCACATTCAAATATGAAGTGAAACTCATTTCCAATACCATTATTATTACACATTCTACATATTCTATTTATAGTAAAAGGTTCTTTTTGTCTAACATTACAACGTAAAGGAAGCTCATTTAATCTTAACAAGCATTACTTCCCTACTATTAATATTTGATACATAATATTCAACTGTATACAATGATTTAATAAACGTATAATGTACAAGTCTCGATGAAACATTAATATTGCTAAAAATGTTTTGTTATCCACAATCTTCTAATCTCTGCTGAAATAACGACAAATAATATGAGATATCTCCAATATCTTGACTAACCCACACATATCCAAAACCATACATATTCAACAATAACCTAGCACAAGAAGCCCACGTGTTCCTTCCAATAGAATCTAGATTCTTAATCTAAAGATAACATTGTTTGGGGTAGCGAGTGTCAGGCATTCTTAACAATTTACACCAATATTTCACACATTTCAAGTAATAATCTACATAAATTCCATGTCTACCACATTCAGCTAAAGCTGCGTTAGTAGATACATGTTTACCTATACCTAAAACATATTTACAAAAACTATTATGAAATCTATCAATAACATATCTTTCCTGAAATCCCCACACTTCTGCACCATACAACAAAATTGGTTTAATTTTGGAGTCAAACAATTTAAATAATATTTTAGCAGGAATTTTTGTATATTTATGCTGAAGCTGCTTAATAACAAGTAAGGCCTTACTGGCTTTTGATACCAGAGTGTTTGTATACACTGTTCATGACAACCTAGTGGGAAACATAACACCCAGATAGTTATAATACGTTGCTGTTTTTAGTAGTTTTCCATCAAAACATCATTTCTCATAATTTCGTAAATAACCCCCATTTCGAAATACTAATATTTCTGTCTTATCTATATTTACTTGTAAGCCCCATGATTTGCAAAATTTACATAAAATATCAATCTTTTTCTGTAAACCAATGACAGTGTCATCGAAAATACATAAATCATCTGCATACAATAACAGAAGTAGCTCTGAATATTCTGCACCTATAAATATACCTCTTAAGTCTCCATCCTCAATCATAGATTGAACCTCAGCAATGAACATTGAAAATAGAAATGGACTAATTACACACCCCTGCCTAACTCCACTTAAGCTATCAAAGTATTCTGTTATGGTAGTGTTCGATAATCTAACAGATGACTTTATTTTAAAATACATATTTATCAATACTGTAAATAATTTACCATGGACACCTTTATTCATTATTGAATACCAAAATATTGCCTGTTAGCAGAATCAGAAACCTTCTTAAAATCTACATATATACAATAGAAACGTTCACCACTTTTAGAGATTTATTTTTCTACAAGACATTGTAATATAAAAATATTATCAGCTGTACAATAACCTTTTCTAAATCCCGCCTGGGCTTCGACAACATTGTGAAAAAAAATCAGCAAAACGTTTTAGACGTTCATTTATGATAGAGCAGAATATTTTCCCGAAGGTATCCATCAAAGATATACCCCTATAGTTATCAACACAATCGAAACTTCCTTTTTTGTGCAGTGGAACAATAATACCTTTAGTCCATTCAGATGGGAAGATACCCGTTGACAAAATATTATTATATATAGCTAACAGATATGGAGCTAAAACATTACTACCATCAGGTCCTGGTGCTTTACCCTGCTTAAGATCTTTTATAGCTGCTTCAATCTCTTCACTTGTGGGGTGGTGGGGTAGCCTAGTGGTTAAAGCGTTGGCTCGTCACGCCGAAGACCCGGGTTCGAATACCCACATGGGTACAATGTGTGAAGCCCATTTCTGGTGTCCCCCCGTCGTGATGTTGCTGGAATATTGCTAAAAGCGGCGTAAAACCAAACTCAGTCAGTTCATTACACAACTGTTCATTATGGTTATTAATGATATAGTCTACATCCTCTAAATCAGTCAGGTTTAAGACTCTCTTGAAATATTCCATCTAATCATCTGGGCTAATGTTGGAAACACGACGTGACTGACTGAGTTTGGTTTTACGCCGCTTTTAGCAATATCCCAGCAACATCACGGCGGGTGACACATGAAATGGGCTTCACGTGGGGATTCGAACCCGGGTCTTCTGCGTGACGAGCGAACGCTTTAACCATTAGGCTACCCCACCGCCCCGAAACACGACTTGAAGTAACAATATTTGTTAATCTACTAATTTTCTTCCAAAAAACATTCGTTATCACGAGTACTATCAACAAGTTCACTCATACAAGTGTCTTCATACTCTAGTCTCTTTTTTCTACACAATGATCTATAACTATTTCTTAACGTACAATATTAGGGAGAATCACCAGTGACTCTAATTCATCTAATAACTTAAACTTACTAATCTTCAAATTCTCACACTCTTTATCATACCATTTTCCCCCCTAGATGTACGTTTAGAACGTTTTAAAGCAGACGACAACCGACATGAAACAGCACAATCATGTAAAACGCCAGTAAGGGATTAATCAACAGCTTAATCAACATTCACAGATAACAAGCGAATAAAATCATCAAATAAAGTCAAAAACATAGAGACAGCATTCCTGAAGGAGTCAGCAAATTCATATTTCCAGGTAAATCAAGGAATGGAATTTACATGTATTACACTCTTAGGCCTACGAGAGCTTTGTGAAACGGGGCCTTGTTTAGTTGGGGTATTATTTGGCAAATTTTGGAAGTTTGTTGTTTTGACAGACGTTTTATTTCACTTTTCAATGATGGGGTTGTTGATTGTGCCTGTCAGCCATCAGACGGAGGACATATCTGTGTATATTCACTTACATAAATGCGGGCAGGTGTGTCTTTTACTGTGGTCATTTATGATGAGTGATGATGGCAATAACAAACTGTTTGGAAATTGTTAAATGTTCTCAATTGTATTTTGCACACTTCGCCTAGTGCATATATACTAAGCGGCATTAATAACGGGTCAAATAATATATAGCACATTTAAAGCAAAGTTTCTCAGAAATAATAGAACTTTCTTTTATTGTGATCATTTATAATGGATGATGACAATATTAAAATGTTTTGAGTCTGACACATGTTCTCAATTGTATTTTACACAATTCGCGTAGTGCATGATATATATTAATTCGATATGTTTATGGCCACTGCCTCCTGCCTCGGTAACCTTGAGCCCAGTAAATACTTTGCGTGAGGTTGTTTGCTGCTATGTTTCGTAACGCCACACTCAGCAATATCAGCAATATTCCAGCAATATTCAAGCAATAAATCGTAAATAATCGAGTCTGAACCAGGCAATTCAGTGATTAACATCATGAGCAATGTGCGTCATCAGCGGTTTCATGGTTGTTGTTTAACGCCGCACTCAGCAATATTCCAGCTATATGTCGGCGTTCTGTAAATATTTGAGTCTAGACCAGACAAACGGGTGATCAACAGCATGAGCATCGATCTACGCAATTTTTCAACCATCAAGAGACATCAAGAGTGCGGACACCATGCTGAAAAAACATAGCTTATATTCTTCTATGTTAGGTCTTAATCACAGGATCCTGGAACGCTTAAGGGAAGTAACTCTGTATAGAAAATAGCGGCGCCTTTCACATCAATCATAACCATATTCCATTGTTCACCAGCCATTCGAGAGTCGGTATAGTAACAGCAACAGATAACAAAGTGAAAGAAGGATTTATAGTAATATACTCAGGCTTATAATGCTTGGCACCCCGGTCGATAACCATATTATTTTTTTTAACTTTTCATGCAATATATTGTATCCAACTGAAATTTTGTGTATGTCTGATGAAAATGTGTGTCCACAGCTTGTTCAGCTTGACCTGAGGTGTCCTCCCATTACGCAGACAGCCAGTTCGAAGACACCTTAAAACAACAACATTTACGGTCCAGTGAACAGATTATCTACTACCTGTTACCTACACATTATAATGGAATAGTCCAAATAAAAACATAGGAACAAACTGAAGCTATGTTATTATTTTGAAAGATGCACGAAAAGACAGTAGTTTGAATTTTTATTGCTGCGATATAAAAACAGTTTATATTCATAAACATTTCGGTTAACCTTCTAGCTTAACGGGAGTCAGCATCATATTGAAAACATTAGCTTAGCTATTAGAAATTGCGACACTGTTGTATCATATAAATCAAATAAAGACAAATGTGAACTTAAACATTATTCATATGGAATATAGAAGTTATATGTTTTGCACACAATATTAAAATATATGGCAAGTGCACTTAATAACGATTTATTTAGAATAAATATTTAAAATATGAAGCATCATGTCAATGTGGCCATGGATGTGAGAATGTTTTGCATTATTTCCTTGAATGGCCATTGTATACTTCTCAAATACATAAACTGTTACAATCTTTAGAAAGTATTGTTAAAATTAGAACACTGATTGGTATTAATCTGATCTTACATGGCAATGCAGGTGTCTCATTTACTGCAAATCAGAATGTTTTCAAATATGTACATATCTATATATCTCCAACAAAACGTTTTCTCAATTAACTTCTGTTGTACATATGCTATTATTGGGAGGGGACTTTTCTATCAATAAACACAATCAAAACTCTCAGTGACAAACCTGTTTTTATATTCGATAGTTATTGATAGTAAAATCAATTTTGAGAAGAGAAATCATTTATCATTTAATGACAACAAAGTTCTATTTACCCACAAACAAGCTTCTCAGTAACGAACCTGTTTCAGGCTCACCCTGCTCTACTCACTAGACAGTGGACTGTTCCATTATACCCGTAGGTGTTACCCTAATTAACCTTCTAGTTCAGTGTCTGTCAATTGGGTGTCTGTCAAATGGGTGTCTGTCAAATGGGAGATAACCTGACCTGATCAAGTGAATACTAATGAATTGCGTGACTGTGTCACAACTGGTTGGGTCTATTATTGTGAAGGGGTGCACCTTTGTCAGATGAAAACGTGTAAACGAGTGGACTGATTGTTGTGCCCATGTTGAAAATTTGGAAAGCGATTACTGGGACAGAAATATTGCAGTTGAACATGAAATAGAAAAAGTGATAATTGAAGTGTTGTTTTCCGGGACAAGTTCTGTAACGAATCTGTGTATGCATGCCTCGCACGGACGCTACATTAATAACATTCTCTGCACCCCTATTTAATGAATATAACCCGATCTGCCGTTTGTGCCATTTGACCTCCCGGGTCATGAATATGTAGAGTAGCTCAGGTCAAGCTGTAAGCGCGTCTCCGAAAGAGGATTTTAGCGAAGCATGAAAAAAAGTTTGCAGCATTATCATAGCTTGTAGAAAAATGTAACTACTGTTCAGTTTCGTTGTCATTTGTGTTTAGCTTGAGTGCATACCTATTTTCGTTTTGTACCGAAGTATTTTATACAAAATACCATGCCAGCACCATTGTCACTTGCATTACGTAAACAGATTGCAGGAATGTCAAGAACTGGCGTTAACAACCGTTCCATAAGTCGTGAGTTGCACGTACGCGTCAGAACTGTACAGAAAATAAAAATGGTACACCGAAATCGTCAATCATTAGTAACAAAAAATGTCGACAGGTAGACCCCGAAAAACTGACGCAAGGGACGACAGCGTTCTCTTCCGCCTTGTACGTCGACGTCGACGTTTATATGCCATGACGTTAAGAGAAAGATGGGGTTTCCGGTTAACTTGAGGTTTAGCGTAGGCTACTGGAGAGGGGGTGCACAGCAAGAAGACCTGTCCGTCGACCACTACTTACAGCTCTGCATAAGCAACGTCGTCTTGAGTGGCCCAGCGTCATTATTACATATTGTGACGTCACTCAGCCTTCTGATGAATCCAGATTTCTTCTACACAGGCAGTGTGCGAAATAGTTTCCAAATTTTGCTAGCCAGTCGGGCTAGCTATGCCTTAAAGTTACTAGCCCACAAAATAATTCACTAGCCCAAAATTTTAATGTAGAAACTAAGTAAAAGGTTACAAAAATAGATGAAAATAAGATATTGTTGGTATGACATGGGGTTTCATCATTAAGCTGCTAATATGATAACATGAACTGGCGGGCCAGTAGCTATTTCGCTCACTGTACACAGGGTATATGGAAGAATGCGAGTTCGACGATTACTGGAGAAAGGTTTATAGGAGACTGTGTGGACGGTTACATTGCGGGAGGGGATGGCGCTGGTAAGGTATGGGGTGAGATTCATTACAATGGAAAAACAGAGCTTCGTGTTGTTCATGAAAACGTCAATCTAGCGACGTGCGTTTTGGAAAACCATTTGATTCCACATGCACGACAAGTTTACAACAAAGACTTCCTGCTGCAAGATGGCAATGCTACTCCACATCGTGCCAGGGCCATTGGTTTGGTGCTTCTCTGGACGGGGAGCGTGTTAACAGATTGCGCTGGCCAGCGGAAAGTTTAGACTTTAATCCAGTTGAGCACACGTGGGACAATCTGAACAGACAAGTGCGACAGCTGGTAGTCCCTCCTGGAACTTTGGATGACTTAGGCACAGCCTTGGTTCGAATCTGGAACCCTACAGGACGGACATTGTCAAACTGACTGACTGTGTTTGGTTTTACGCCGATTTTAGCAATATTCCAGCAACATCACGGCGGGGGACACCAGAAATGGGCTTCACACATTGTACCCATGTTGGGCTTCGAACCCGGGTCTTCGACGTGACGAGCCAACGCTTTAACCACTAAGCTACCCCACCGCCCCAGACATTGTCAAAGACTTTGTTGACATCATGAGGCGACGGATTGATAATAATGATGATAATTGGCTTGTATAGCACCTAGTTTCCACCACAGATGCTGAACGGCGCTGTATACATCGTTAAAAACACAGTAAGAGTAAAAAAGAATTCTATTCAAAAGCCATCTTGAAGAAGTAGGTTTTGAGCAAGATGTTTGGGACTCAGTTCGTCTGAGGGTGATTGGAAGATTGTTCCATAGAGCTGGCGCTGCTGCAGAAAAGGCTCTATCATCCATTGAGGTTTTCGTGCTTGGCTGTGTCAGTCTTAGCGTATCCATTGATCTGAGAGCTGTGGTGGGTACATGCAGATGTACGAGCTGGCGAAGGTAGTCACCGGACTGGTCATCATAGAGGCAGTTATGCATCAGAAGAAGAATGTTTGAAGCAAAGTGAATATTACCTCCCTTATTGATGCACGTGGCGGAACTACTCGCTATTGACTACAATCTTCCAGACAACTGAATGTGCTGACGGTGTGGTAAGAGTTGCAACTGTGCGTCGACAGCACGTACACTATGCTGACGGCGTGCCCAAAACGTTAGCCGGGCTTGCTGGCAAAGATCAGTCATGGTGAAATGAGGGTGACAAAGATGAGAATGCATATATGCACCCATTTTTATGGGTCTGGCTCACAACGCACTGGCAACGCCCTGTAAACGCCATGCCAACGCTCATGGACGCGGTAGAAGAGCCGTGGGAGCGCAATGATCGCCGTGGCAGCTCTTAGGGAGCGCAGTAAAATAAATAACACTCTTGTAAACGACGTATGACGCGGTAGAGACGCAGTGACATCACTAAGGACTCCGTTTGGTCTCCGTGCAAGCGGCGCCGACTACCACTGCGTCCATACTGCGATCGTGTGCGTCCTTGGTGCGTGCCCTCAGAGCTCCTGTGGCGCTGTAGGAGACCTTTCTGCGTTGCTACGGCGGCCCTTCGGCGTTCCTACTGCGCGAATGTCAGAACGCAGAGCAACGGTGCGTACTTTGTGCATGTTCAAAGTGCGCGCCGTCGCTTGGCGTTCTAGGCGACCCCACCGCGTCTACTAGAGATGCCACCGCGTCTACTAGAGATGTCACCGCGTTGCTGGGGCGCTACAGGAGACCCTACTGCGCGCACCTCGGCGTTCTGCAGTTTTCATGGACGCCGCGGAATCGCCCTGGCGTGACAGCTGTTTCATTTTGAGAAGTGGAAACGAACGGGGTAAGAAATAAATTTGCAACTATCTTACATTCATATAAAGTTTCAAATGTTGTAAAAAAAATTAATCTCACAATGTATTTCTCACCATTCGGGTACACAGACAAATTTTTGAAAGTTTTGAAGTCTTTCAAAGAATATCCATGCAAATGTGTTTTCCTCAATGCTGACTAAACAGTACAAGTCATTTGTTGTATATGATATCTCTAACTAAAGACAAAATTCGACAGGAAATCAAACGTATGGTTTCTTTTGCCCCTGGGTATACAGTGCTCACCGTTCCAAGTGCCACCCAAAGATCGTCGTGGTCGGCGTTGCTGTATTCGCGGGACAGGAGATATCGCTGCAAGAGACGTCACCAAACAATCAACATACGAAAATACTGGCAGCAACGAGAAAATAATGGAAACAACGAGAAAATACTCCCAAGCACCGACAAAATAATCGAAGCAGAGAGAAATTTCGCCGAAACTATTTGATGCTACATAAGTGGCAGGATTAGTTCGTATGTTTGAACTTGTCAGACATAATGGAGGATTCTGTAGTACATCAGAGTTTCTGATTGGTCACTCGTGTTGTATGATTGACAGGTGGACATAAGTCAATTCAAGCTGAAATCCTGAAAGGGTCTCAATTGATTATGTACTCACTCAAGAGGCTGAAACAAAAGTATCGTGTTATCAGCCTTTCTCACTGACTCACTGACTCACTCACTGACTCACTCGCTGACTCACTGACTAACTCACTCATTCACTCATTCACTGACTGACTCACTGACTGACTGACTCACTGACTGACTGACTCACTGGGTCGCTCACTCGCTCACTCACTCACACACTCACTCACTCACTCACCGTCAAGCCCCTCTGGAACGTTCCGGCGCCGATGAAGAACTTCAACATCCGTATCACAGACCCTCCCTGTTGAAGTAAATGAGATTAAGAAACCGCTTTTAGACGTTTTAATTGTTGAACTCAGATTATGTGTCCTCAACAATTGTAATCGTCGTCGTAGTCATAGTCGTCTTTTTTATAATAAGTTTAGTTTATTCGTTATGAAAGCCATAGTCCCATAATACAGGCAGTGTGTGGTTGCATGAGTAACGCTAGCCAGTGAAGTATTTGATTAAGTTTCTGGTGGCGTTAGACTTGATTAAGTGTAGACATGTGTCACATACAAAACAACATCAAAGGTTTCAGATGATGTCTCAATATGTGACTTGATATACTTTGTGAGATACACACTTCAATAAAAGGTCTCCACTTTCTACACAATAGTTACGTAGTCAGTCAATGTACGTCATACTTGTGTAACAAATAAAAGAAGAACATCTCTTATTGCTACTGTGAGGTGAGGTGAGGAGAGGTGAGGTGAGGTGAGGAGAGGTGAGGTGAGGTGAGGTGAGGAGAGGTGAGGAGAGGTGAGGTGAGGTGAGGTGAAATTGGGTTTAACGTCGTGCTTGAGAATATTTCGCTCATATGACGACATGCATGTATGTGTATGTGCGGCTGCTTGTACTAGCCCAGACTGAAGCTGGTTTTATAGTGCTAGCCCACTGAGATACCATGCCGCACTGAAGCATGAATACCCCACTCAGACACATTATACTGACTCCGAGCCAACCAGTCCTTGTTGTACCCATTAATGCCGAGCGCCAGGCAGGGACCAACAAGTAACATATTTTAACGTCTTTTGGTAAGACGCGGTCGGGGAATCGAACCCGCGACCTTCCGCTCTCCGGGCGGACGCTCTAACCACTACACCACGGAGGCGGTTATTACTACTGTTGTCATAGAATCGTTTTCGTGATGATGATTATTATTAGTATGATTATCATCGGAGACAAAATCGACTCAACTTTTATACAGACAAACCGACTTAGAATCTAAAGTCTCACCTTGTTATAGGAGATTGAGTCAAATATTTGGTCAATCTCTTCCGGGCTCTCCACGTCGACATAGACCGGATGTGACGTCACACGGCCATCGAATTCAAACACTGGCATGATTTCGTCCACGACAAATTGGTTATACTGTACGAAACAGAAGAGACAAAGTGTATTGAGTCTATAGTGTATGCTGAATTACTGTGTATGCGACTTTGGGGGCATCTGCAAATCAAACTTTGGCGATTGACTTGGTTGACACATGTCATCGTATCACAATTGCGTAGATCGATGCTCATGCTGTTGGTCACTGGATTGTCTAGTCCAGATTCCATTATATACAGACCGCTGCCATATAGATGGAATATTGCTGAGTGCGGTGTAAAACTAAACTCACTCGCTCACTCTTTAATTTAGAGAGACATCCCATTGGAAACATCAAACTCAATTTATTCCACTTCACCAATATCTGACCCGTGAAGATCCGGGTTAGAATTGGTCTTCAGTAACCCATGCTTGTCGTAAGAGGCGACAGACGGGATCGGGTGGTCAGACTCGCTGGCTTGGTTGACACATATCCCAACTGAGTAGATCGATGCTCATGATGTTGATTACTGGATTGTCTGTTCCAGTTATTTACAAACCGCCGGCATATAGCTGGACTATTGCTGCGTGCAATCAACAAATCAACCAGCCAGTAATCAATAGAATATAAATGAATAATGGCAATTGATACATTACGAGCGCTTCGATTTGCTACGTCGAATCATCAGAAATGCGCAACACGAATCCAGCGTATCAATGCTCCTGTCAACCGCAGGGATATCTTGATGAACAATAGAGTTGGACACATCCCCAGAGGCCGAAGCTTATTGCACATGGACATCCTAGTTAACACCAAATAATTCACCTTTAATTTTGTGACAGAATAATGGACGAAAAAATATTGTTTTCAATGTGGAGCTAGATTACCAGCAGACACAACCGTAACACATTTAACTATTGAAACTTCGAGCAGGTTCCAGATTCATTTCAGAGAAGGCAAATGTACAAGTAACCTGGCCCTATACTGAAAACACAACATATTTATCCAATATAAACATTTATCTCCTCTAGTACAAAGTTTACCATGTCCCAGTTCGGTTCAATAACCTCGGCTCCAAAGTACATGAAGAACGTGGCGAATCCTTCGTTGAGCCACAGGTCGTCCCACCATTTCATGGTGACCAAGTTCCCGAACCACTGAAACAACAAGGGGAGAAAACTGGTAAGTTCAGGACAGCTCTCCGGTATACAGATCCAAGTCTCCCTAAAACCCAAATACCATACCATACTATACAGTCCTCCCATACAAAGATCCAAGTCGCCCTAAAACCAAGATACCATACCATGCCATAGAGCCCTCCGATATAAAGATCCAAGTCGCCCTATAACCCCAATACCATACCATGCCATAGAGTCCTCCGATATAAAGATCCAAGTCGCCCTAAAACCCCAATACCATACCACACCATAGAGCCATCCGATATAAAGATCCAAGTCTCCCTAAAACCCAAATACCATACCACACCATAGAGTCCTCCGACAATAAAGTCCCAAGTCTCCCTAAAACCCAAATACCATACCATACTTTAGAGTCCTCCGATATAAAGTCCCAAGTCTCCCTAAAACCCAAATACCATACCATACCATAGAGTCCTCCGATATAAAGATCCAAGTCGCCCTAAAACCCAAATACCATACCATGCCATAGAGCCCTCCGATATAAAGATCCAAGTTTCCCTAAAACCCCAATACCATGCCATACCATAGAGCCCTCCGATATAAAGATCCAAGTCGCACTAAAACCCAAATACCATACCATGCCATAGAGCCCTCCGATATAAAGATCCAAGTTTCCCTAAAACCCAAATACCATGCCATACCATAGAGCCCTCCGATATAAACATCCAAGTCTCCCTAAAACCCCAATACCACACCACACCATAGAGCCCTCCGATATAAAGATCCAAGTCTCCCTAACACCCAAATACCATACCATACCATAGAGCCCTCCGATATAAAGTCCCAAGTCTCCCTAAAACCCAAATACCATACCATACTATAGAGTCTTCCGATATAAAGTCCCAAGTCTCCCTAAAACCCCAATACCATACCATACTATAGAGTCCTCCGATATAAAGTCCCAAGTCTCTCTAAAACCCCAATACCATACCACACCATAGAGTCCTCCGATATAAAGTCCCAAGTCTCCCTAAAACCCAAATACCATACCATACTTTAGAGTCCTCCGATATAAAGTCCCAAGTCTCCCTAAAACCCAAATACCATACCATACCATAGAGCCCTCCGATATAAAGATCCAAGTCTCCCTAAAACCCAAATACCATACCATGCCATAGAGCCCTCCGATATAAAGATCCAAGTTTCCCTAAAACCCAAATACCATACCATACCATAGAGCCCTCCGATATAAAGATCCAAGTCGCCCTAAAACCCCAATACCATAACATACCAAAGAGCCCTCCGATATAAAGATCCAAGTTTCCATAAAACCCAAATACCATACCATACCATAGAGCCCTCCGATATAAAGATCCAAGTCGCCCTAAACCCAAATACCAAATCCATACCATAGAGCCCTCCGATATAAAGATCCAAGTTTCCCTAAACCACAAACACCAAATACCATACCACAGAGCCCTCCGATATAAAGATCCAAGTTTCCCTAAATCCCAAATACCATACCATGCCATAAAGCCCTCCGATATAAAGATGCAAGTTTCCCTAAAACCCAAATACCATACCATACCATAGAGCCCTCCGATATAAAGATTCAAGTCTCCCTAAACCCAAATACCATACCATAGAGCCCTCTGATATAAAGATCCAAGTTTCCCTAAAACCCAAATACCATACCATACCATAGAGCCCTCCGATATAAAGATCCAAGTTTCCCTAAAGCCCAAATACCATACCATACCATAGAGCCCTCCGATATAAAGATCCAAGTTTCCCTAAACCACAAACACCAAATACCATACCATAGAGCCCTCCGATATAAAGATCCAAGTTTCCCTAAAACCCAAATACCATACCATGCCATAAAGCCCTCCGATATAAAGATGCAAGATTCCCTAAAACCCAAATACCATACCATACCATAGAGCCCTCCGATATAAAGATTCAAGTCTCCCTAAATCCAAATACCATACCATACCATAGAGCCCTCAGATATAAAATTCCAAGTCGCACTAAAACTCAAATACCATACCATACCATAGAGCTCTCCGATACAAAGATCCAAGTCGCCCTAAAACCCAAATACCATACCATACCATAGATCCCTCCGATATAAATATCCAAGTCTCCCTAAACCCAAATACCATACCATACTATAGAGCCCTCCGATATAAAGATCCAAGTCGACCTAAACCCAAATACCATACCATGACATAGAGCCCTCCGATATAAAGATCCAAGTCTCCCTAAATCCAAATATCATACCATACCATAGAGCCCTCCGATATAAAGATCCAAGTCTCCCTAAACCAAAATACCATACCATGCCATAGAGCCCTCAGATATAAAGATCCAAGTCTCCCTAAACCCAAATATCATACCATACCATAAAGCCCTCCGATATAAAGATCCAAGTCGCACTAAAACCCAGATACCATACCATGACATAGAGCCCTCAGATATAAAGATCCAAGTCTCCCTAAAACCCAAACACCAAATCCACACCATAGAGCCCTCCGATATAAAGATCCAAGTCGCACTAAATCCAAATATCATACCATACCATAGAGCCCTCAGATATAAAATTCCAAGTCGCACTAAAAACCAAATACCATACCATGCCATAGAGCCCTCCGATATAAAGATCCAAGTCTCCCTAAAACCCAAACACCAAATCCACACCATAGAGCCCTCCGATATAAAGATCCAAGTCGCACTAAAACCGAAAAACCATACCATGCCATAGAGCCCTCCGATATAAAGATCCAAGTCTCCCTAAAATCCAAACACCAAATCCACACCATAGAGCCCTCCGATATAAAGATCCAAGTCGCCCTAAATCCAAATACCATACCATGCCATAGAGCCCTCCGATATAAAGATCCAAGTCGCACTAAAACCCAAATACCATACCATGCCATAGAGCCCTCCTCCGATATAAAGATCCAAGTCTCCTAAAACCCAAACACCAAATCCACACCATAGAGCCCTCCGATATAAAGATCCAAGTCGCCCTAAATCCAAATACCATACCATGCCATAGAGCCCTCCGATATAAAGATCCAAGTCACACTGAAACCCAAATACCATACCATGCCATAGAGCCCTCAGATATAAAGATCCAAGTCTCCTTAAAAAAACCAAATACCATACCATGCCATAGAGCCCTCCGATATAAAGATCCAAGTCGCCTTAAAAAAACCAAATACCATACCATGCCATAGAGCCCTCCGATATAAAGATCCAAGTCACACTGAAACCCAAATACCATACCATGCCATAGAGCCCTCCGATATAAAGGTCCAAGTCTCCCTAAAACCCAAATACCATACCATGCCATAGAGCCCTCCGATATAAAGGTCCAAGTCGCCCTAAAAGCCAAATACCATACCATGCCATAGAGCCCTCCGATATAAAGGTCCAAGTCTCCCTAAAACCCAAATACCATACCATGCCATAGAGCCCTCCGATATAAAGGTCCAAGTCGCCCTAAAAGCCAAATACCATACCATGCCATAGAGCCCTCCGATATAAAGATCCAAGTCTCCCTAAAACCCAAACACCAAATCCACACCATAGAGCCCTCCGATATAAAGATCCAAGTCGCCCTAAATCCAAATACCGTACCATGCCATAGAGCCCTCCGATATAAAGATCCAAGTCACACTGAAACCCAAATACCATACCACACCATAGAGCCCTCCGATACAAAGGCCCAAGTCTCCCTAAAACCCAAATACCATACCATGCCATAGAGCCCTCCGATATAAAGGTCCAAGTCGCCCTAAAAGCCAAATACCATACCATGCCATAGAGCCCTCCGATATAAAGTCCCAAGTCTCCCTAAAACCCAAACGCCACACCATGCCATAGAGTCCTCCGATATAAAGTTCCAAGTCTCCCTAAAACCCAAACACCAAATCCACACCATAGAGCCCTCCGATATAAGGATCCAAGTCGCACTAAAACCGAAAAACCATACCATGCCATAGAGCCCTCCGATATAAAGATCCAAGTCTCCCTAAAACCCAAACACCAAATCCACACCATAGAGCCCTCCGATATAAAGATCCAAGTCGCCCTAAATCCAAATACCATACCATGCCATAGAGCCCTCCGATATAAAATTCCAAGTCGCACTAAAACCCAAATACCATACCATGCCATAGAGCCCTCCGATATAAAGATCCAAGTCGCCCTAAAACCCAAACACCAAATCCACACCATAGAGCCCTCCGATATAAAGATCCAAGTCGCCCTAAATCCAAATACCATACCATGCCATAGAGCCCTCCGATATAAAGATCCAAGTCGCACTAAAACCCAAATACCATACCATGCCATAGAGCCCTCCGATATAAAGATCCAAGTCTCCCTAAAACCCAAACACCAAATCCACACCATAGAGCCCTCCGATATAAAGATCCAAGTCGCACTAAATCCAAATATCATACCATACCATAGAGCCCTCAGATATAAAATTCCAAGTTGCACTAAAACCGAAAAACCATACCATGCCATAGAGCCCTCCGATATAAAGATCCAAGTCTCCCTAAAACCCAAACACCAAATCCACACCATAGAGCCCTCCGATATAAAGATCCAAGTCGCACTAAAACCGAAAAACCATACCATGCCATAGAGCCCTCCGATATAAAGATCCAAGTCTCCCTAAAACCCAAACACCAAATCCACACCATAGAGCCCTCCGATATAAAGATCCAAGTCGCACTAAATCCAAATACCATACCATGCCATAGAGCCCTCCGATATAAAGATCCAAGTCGCACTGAAACCCAAATACCATACCATGCCATAGAGCCCTCAGATATAAAGATCCAAGTCTCCCTAAATCCAAATACCATACCATGCCATAGAGCCTTCCGATATAAAGATCCAAGTCTCCCTAAAACCCAAACACCAAATCCACACCATAGAGCCCTCCGATATAAAGATCCAAGTCGCCCTAAAACCCAAACACCAAATCCACACCATAGAGCCCTCCGATATAAAGATCCAAGTCGCCCTAAATCCAAATACCATACCATGCCATAGAGCCCTCCGATATAAAATTCCAAGTCGCACTAAAACCCAAATACCATACCATGCCATAGAGCCCTCCGATATAAAGATCCAAGTCGCCCTAAAACCCAAACACCAAATCCACACCATAGAGCCCTCCGATATAAAGATCCAAGTCGCCCTAAATCCAAATACCATACCATGCCATAGAGCCCTCCGATATAAAGATCCAAGTCACACTGAAACCCAAATACCATACCATGCCATAGAGCCCTCCGATATAAAAATCCAAGTCGCCCTAAAAAAAACAAATACCATACCATGCCATAGAGCCCTCCGATACAAAGGCCCAAGTCTCCCTAAAACCCAAAAACCATACCATGCCATAGAGCCCTCCGATATAAAGGTCCAAGTCACCCTAAAAGCCAAATACCATACCATGCGATAGAGCCCTCCGATATAAAGTCCCAAGTCTCCCTAAAACCCAAACGCCACACCATGCCATAGAGTCCTCCGATATAAAGTTCCAAGTCTCCCTAAAACCCAAACACCAAATCCACACCATAGAGCCCTCCGATATAAGGATCCAAGTCGCACTAAAACCGAAAAACCATACCATGCCATAGAGCCCTCCGATATAAAGATCCAAGTCGCACTAAAACCCAAACACCAAATCCACACCATAGAGCCCTCCGATATAAAGATCCAAGTCGCCCTAAATCCAAATATCATACCATGCCATAGAGCCCTCCGATATAAAGATCCAAGTCGCACTAAAACCCAAATACCATACCATGCCATAGAGCCCTCCGATATAAAGATCCAAGTCTCCCTAAAACCCAAACACCAAATCCACACCATAGAGCCCTCCGATATAAAGATCCAAGTCGCACTAAATCCAAATATCATACCATACCATAGAGCCCTCAGATATAAAATTCCAAGTTGCACTAAAACCGAAAAACCATACCATGCCATAGAGCCCTCCGATATAAAGATCCAAGTCTCCCTAAAACCCAAACACCAAATCCACACCATAGAGCCCTCCGATATAAAGATCCAAGTCGCCCTAAATCCAAATACCATACCATGCCATAGAGCCCTCCGATATAAAGATCCAAGTCTCCCTAAAAAAAACAAATACCATACCATGCCATAGAGCCCTCCGATACAAAGGCCCAAGTCTCCCTAAAACCCAAATACCATACCATGCCATAGAGCCCTCTGATATAAAGGTCCAAGTCGCCCTAAAAGCCAAATACCATACCATGCCATAGAGCCCTCCGATATAAAGTCCCAAGTCTCCCTAAAACCCAAACGCCACACCATGCCATAGAGTCCTCCGATATAAAGTTCCAAGTCTCCCTAAAACCCAAACACCAAATCCACACCATAGAGCCCTCCGATATAAGGATCCAAGTCGCACTAAAACCGAAAAACCATACCATGCCATAGAGCCCTCCGATATAAAGATCCAAGTCTCCCTAAAACCCAAACACCAAATCCACACCATAGAGCCCTCCGATATAAAGATCCAAGTCGCCCTAAATCCAAATACCATACCATGCCATAGAGCCCTCCGATATAAAATTCCAAGTCGCACTAAAACCCAAATACCATACCATGCCATAGAGCCCTCCGATATAAAGATCCAAGTCGCCCTAAAACCCAAACACCAAATCCACACCATAGAGCCCTCCGATATAAAGATCCAAGTCGCACTAAAACCGAAAAACCATACCATGCCAAAGAGCCCTCCGATATAAAGATCCAAGTCGCCCTAAAACCCAAACACCAAATCCACACCATAGAGCCCTCCGATATAAAGATCCAAGTCGCACTAAATCCAAATACCATACCATGCCATAGAGCCCTCCGATATAAAGATCCAAGTCGCACTAAAACCCAAATACCATACCATGCCATAGAGCCCTCAGATATAAAGATCCAAGTCTCCCTAAATCCAAATACCATACCATGCCATAGAGCCTTCCGATATAAAGATCCAAGTCTCCCTAAAACCCAAACACCAAATCCACACCATAGAGCCCTCCGATATAAAGATCCAAGTCGCCCTAAAACCCAAACACTAAATCCACACCATAGAGCCCTCCGATATAAAGATCCAAGTCGCCCTAAATCCAAATACCATACCATGCCATAGAGCCCTCCGATATAAAATTCCAAGTCGCACTAAAACCCAAATACCATACCATGCCATAGAGCCCTCCGATATAAAGATCCAAGTCGCCCTTAAACCCAAACACCAAATCCACACCATAGAGCCCTCCGATATAAAGATCCAAGTCGCACTAAAACCGAAAAACCATACCATGCCATAGAGCCCTCCGATATAAAGATCCAAGTCTCCCTAAAACCCAAACACCAAATCCACACCATAGAGCCCTCCGATATAAAGATCCAAGTCGCACTAAATCCAAATACCATACCATGCCATAGAGCCCTCCGATATAAGGATCCAAGTCTCCCTAAAACCCAAACACCAAATCCACACCATAGAGCCCTCCGATATAAAGATCCAAGTCGCACTGAAACCCAAATACCATACCATGCCATAGAGCCCTCAGATATAAAGATCCAAGTCTCCCTAAATCCAAATACCACACCATGCCATAGAGCCTTCCGATATAAAGATCCAAGTCTCCATAAAACCCAAATACCATACCATACCATAGAGCCCTCCGATATAAAGATCCAAGTCGCACTAAAACCCAAATACCATACCATGCCATAGAGCCCTCCGATATAAAGATCCAAGTCTCCCTAAATCCAAATACCACACCATGCCATAGAGCCTTCCGATATAAAGATCCAAGTCTCCATAAAACCCAAATACCATACCATACCATAGAGCCCTCCGATATAAAGATCCAAGTCGCACTAAAACCCAAATACCATACCATGCCATAGAGCCCTCAGATATAAAGATCCAAGTCTCCCTAAATCCAAATACCACACCATGCCATAGAGCCTTCCGATATAAAGATCCAAGTCTCCATAAAACCCAAATACCATACCATACCATAGAGCCCTCCGATATAAAGATCCAAGTCACACTGAAACCCAAATACCATACCATGCCATAGAGCCCTCCGATATAAAGATCCAAGTCACACTGAAACCCAAATACCATACCATGCCATAGAGCCCTCCGATATAAAGATCCAAGTCGCCCTAAAAAAAACAAATACCATACCATGCCATAGAGCCCTCCGATATAAAGATCCAAGTCACACTGAAACCCAAATACCATACCATGCCATAGAGCCCTCCGATATAAAGATCCAAGTCACACTGAAACCCAAATACCATACCATGCCATAGAGCCCTCCGATATAAAGATCCAAGTCACACTGAAACCCAAATACCATACCATGCCATAGAGCCCTCCGATATAAAGGTCCAAGTCTCCCTAAAACCCAAATACCATACCATGCGATAGAGCCCTCCGATTTAAAGTCCCAAGTCGCCCTAAAACCCAAATGCCACACCATGCCATAGAGCCCTCCGATATAAAGTTCCAAGTCTCCCTAAAACCCAAATACCATACCATACTTTAGAGTCCTCCGATATAAAGGTCCAAGTCGCCCTAAAAGCCAAATACCATACCATGCGATAGAGCCCTCCGATTTAAAGTCCCAAGTCGCCCTAAAACCCAAATGCCACACCATGCCATAGAGCCCTCCGATATAAAGTTCCAAGTCTCCCTAAAACCCAAATACTGCCCATACAGTAGAGCCCTCCGATCGACATGTTAACAGAAATTGCGCAATACTCTATCGGGAAATCTTACTGAGCGGCAACTTGTAGCGAAATAGAGTAAAGGTATTACAATTTTCGTTCACAGTTTCTGTGTCTACTCACCTGGTGAGCCAGTTCGTGTGCCTACTCACCTGGTGAGCCAGTTCGTGTGTCTACTCACCTGGTGAGCCAGTTCGTGTGTAATGACGACCATGACCTGTTGCTTCGCGGAGTTGCTGGTGACCCCCGCTGTGAAGAACAACCTGACGGCTCTGTATGTGATGAGACCCCAGTTCTCCATGGCCCCAGCCGCGAAGTCAGGGATAGCCACCATGTCTGCAGTGACAAGGACTTGTATTAAGTTCCTCCCTGGTACCACTCATCTCAACCACTGACTGTTTCAACATGTAAGTTCCTGAATGACCCAACACACCGTGAAAATGCGGGTTCGAAGCCATCGACTAGCCAAATGCGACAAAAGGCATATTGTGGTCACGTTTCTTTAACACGTGTTATCTTCGGGATTACACTTTCACAGTAAAGAATATATTATACTAGTTTTATCCATCCGAGATTCGAACCCACGCCCTCAGAATGAGTGAATGAGTGAGTGAGTATGGTTTTTACGCCGCTTTTAGCAAATATTCCCGCAATATCATGGCGGGGGACACCAGAAACGGGCTTCACACATTGTACCCATATGGGGAATCAGTTCTGCACTAATCTCTCCTCAGTAAAGTCCTTTATCTACGTTTCCTATCTCCCTAACACTGAGACTGTAGTTAGGCCGAACTTAGTTTAACAGATGTTTCACACTTTCACATATTAACTACATAAATTGTAGATATCAATGCGAAACAACAGTTTTTTTTCTATTTCCGACAGTACTTTAGGCTACCCCACCGCCCCCACACCCTCAGAGTTAACCTTAGTACCTCATCGCCAGCACACAGTCAGCACGGCTTCCACAGTGGGTTCGAAACCTGGATGGGCCTCAAGCCAACAAAAGTATTAGAATCTGTACTTTACTGCGAAAGTGTAACCCCAAATATAACGTATGGTATGTTTGACTACTTTCTAATTAGCATTGTGTATTCATTCGTTTTGTTTCTTTGTTGTTTAACGTTGCACTCAGCAATATTCAAGCTATATGGCGGCGGTTTGTAACCAGTTGTGCCAAGACCAGACAATCCAGTGATCAACAGCATGAGCATCGATGTACGCAATTTGGAACCGATGACATGTGTCAACCAAGTCAGCGAGCCAGACCACCCGATCCCGTTAGTGGCCTCTTACGACAAGCATGGGTTGCTGAAGACCAATTCTAACCCGGATCGTCACCGGTCTGTGGTCATGCTTGATGACGTGGTTGACACATGTCATCGAATCCAAACTAACGTAGATCGATAGTCATGATATCAATCACTGGATTGGCTGGTCCAGACTCGATTATGTACAGACTGCAGCCAAATAGCTGGAATATTGCTGAGTGCCGAGATAACCAAAATCAAACAATGAGTAAGCCTACCTTCTTTGGGCAAAGGGTAGGTGATGTTGAAGTAGTCTTCGTAGAAGGTGATGGTGCGCATGCCGACGTCGAGGGAGTAGTCAAGATCATTGAGCGACTCCTTCTGTGCCCACACTCGATACTGGAAATATATTTGTATTTCATGCTAGAAGAAAAAAAGTCTAATGCATTAACGTTGGTCTCTGACAGACAAAGGCCAAGAGGATCTGCTCGGATCACTCAGGTTACTAAATAGACCTGTATGACGTGTTCGGGATTGCAGCCGAGAGCTGCAGAATGCTATGAAGGCTTCAAGGCAAGTGACGTCGAAATCATGAATATAGTGTCTTACGTTTTTTTCAAAGTATAAGCTATACTAAGAGATATCTAAGCGAAAACTACGACGGTCATTAGGAACAGACATTTAGCGTATTCAGATAAGTAACCCAAAGTCCACCACCACCCCACCACCCCACCAACCAACCAACCCACAACCATACGACTACACCGCCCTCCCAAACACCATCCCCAAACCCACAAACAAGCCCCTGCAGGATGTGAAAAGGCGCGGACGTCAGTGTAAGCAGCCGGCTCGCGACGTGTCTCTCACCCTCAAGTACCCAGGCTAATTGCTACAAACTGTATGGACACGTAAGGGCGGTGGGGTAGCGTGGTTAAAGCGCTTGCTTGTCACGCCGAAAACCAGGTTCGATTCCCAAACGTGGGTACAATGTGTGAAGCCCATTTCTGGTTTCCCCCGCCGTGATATTGCTGCAACACTGCTAAAAGCGGCGTAAAACCATACTCACTCACAATGTATTAGTATGGGAATTAGAATCATGTTAGCGCTAGGATCGCTTCGTGAGACGGGACCCAGTCAGACAACTCCTACCTCCACGCCTCGTGATGTTGTACCGCTGATGAACTGGAAGTCGGACACGATGAACGCCACCAGGTACGTCGACATCAACGGGGTCGTCTCGTAAACATCAGCAACAAAGCCTGTCTCCCTGAAAATACGCCGTCTTAAACTAGCATACTTCATTGCACAAATCTTTCAATACCAGTTTGACAGGCGCATCAAAGGATATTGTTTCCAAGTTAATGGTAAATAACATAGTACTATGTAATATATTTATCAGTTGAAAGACATTTTAAAGGTTAATAAGATGATATTTATTAACTGACAATCAGTAGATAAAATAATACTTTTGTATCCAAGATATGTTTTTTATGGATTAAACTTTCCCTGACAGCCTTCGTGATGTAACTGCAACTTTCTTGACGTACCTGTCGTCATTATTGACAACCTGCATGACGTACCTGTCATCATTATAGACAACCTGCATGACGTACCTGTCATCATTATAGACAACCTGCATGACGTACCTGTCATCATTATAGACAACCTACATGACGTACCGGTCATCATTGTAGACAACCTGCATGACGTACCGGTCATCATTATAGACAACCTACATGACGTACCTGTCATCAGTTCTGACAATCCTCATGTTGGACATGCTGTTGAGCTCTGTCTTCCTGACGAGAGTGATGTTGAAGTGAGCCTTCAGTTCGGGCTCGTCAAAACACGGGAAGGCCTTCCGGGCGTCTGTCGACTCAAACTGAGTGGTGGCCAGATAACTGCAGAAAATATCTCATAGTAATGAAGATTCCACATGCCTTATTATATTCGGTATGGATTTTTCTATTATGATGTGATAGCTTAAGGACATGCCTTCAAAAATATTTATTTGTCTGAACAACTCACTCACGCACTCACTCATGATACACCGCCACTTATCTGGAATATTGCTGAGTACGGCGATAAAAGCAACACCAAACCCAAACCCAATCCACTCACACACTCACACACACACACACACACACACACACACACACACACACACACACACACATCTTACTGAAATAGTGCTGAATCACACCTGATGTACAAATAAGACAGAAAAAATTAATAACCGTTATCTTAAAATCGGACAATCTGCACTTTCGAGAAACAATTTTCAGATTATAAATTGAAATCAACCTATCCTAGACTTACACCGTCTCCCCTTCTCGGGTGTATGAGCTCAGATAGAAGCCCTTCAGGTCATCCTTCAGAGGTCCGGTGAAATTCATCTTGACGTAATACATCTGACCTACTGTCGTGTCCTTGTCCAGGGTGATCTTCAACAGCTGGTTGTCGGCGTCAGTCTCGTAGGACACGAAGACAGGTGGATCTGACCCACCCTCGGATCCAAACTCTATCGACCCTGCCATTATTTCAAGTTCATTCAGATGCATAATGACCTCTTTGGTCGTCTCGAGACACTCCATTGTTATTCTGACGTAGCCGTCAAAGGTGAAGGTCGTCGGATCACCTTGGTACATGTTGGGCCTCATTTCAAGGTCGTAGTAGATTGGTTTCAGCGTTTTGGGCAGGAATACCACGTCTTGCTTTGGTTTTGATGAAGTGCATCCATCGCCTACCGAAGTACAAGAGTGAGTGAGTGAGTTTGGTTTTACGCCGCTTTTAGCAATATTCCAGCAATATCACGGCGGGGGACACCAGAAATAGGCTTCACACATTGTACCCATGTGGAGAATCGAACCCGGTTCATCGGCGTGACGAGCGAACGCTTTAACCAAGAGGCCAACCCACCCCACCCCCACCCCCGAACTGCAAGAACATTGGTATGATCATATTAGACAGCAGCAGTTATAGTAGTAGAAATAATATCAACAACAACAGGTAGTAGGTGTGAGAGAATGGGTTTAGTTTAACGCCGTACTCAGCAATATTCCAGCTGTATGGCGACGGTCTATAAATAATCGAGCCTGGATCAGACATTCCAGTGATCAACATCATGAGCATTGATCTACGCAATTCCGGATACTGACTGACTTGGGATTTTACGATGACATTCCAGTATCACGGCGGGGGACACCAGAAATGGGCTTCACAACCCGTCAGCGAGCCTTCGGCGTGACGAGCTACTCGATTGGGATACGATGACATGTCGCTGACCATTCGATCCCGTCAGTGGCCTCTTACGTCAAGCGAGAGAGAGAGAGAGAGAGAGAGAGAGAGAGAGAGAGAGAGAGAGAGAGAGAGAGAGAGAGAGAGAGAGAGAGAGAGAGAGAGAGAGAGAGAGAGAGAGGGTGCAGATCTTAGCTGCAAATTAGGGTTGACTGGGCACCATCGTAGATTCGAACCTCGCCTCGCCTTAATTATGTTTCTAGGTTTGTTTCTCTGTTAATTCGTGCTCTATTTTCTCATCAACCTGTCACTCGGTGACACATTTAAATAAATGACCGAATGCATTGTCAGCAAACGTCCAGCCTTCTATTCGGCCTCTTAGCAACAGTGTCTGGTTCCGGTTAACCATTTGATAGAACAGGAATGATCCAGCAACCCACACAGACTAAACTAAAATATACAGTATATATAATAGACGTAACTAGATGTAAAATATCATTGACATCAGATATCACATCGTGACCGTTTCAATAAAGTAACTCACAAACTGATGACGCTGGTCTCGTCCCTGTCGTCGAAGACAACGCGTTTAGAAACAGCACCAAGGTGAGGAGGCAGAATCGCGAAAAATACATCCTTATTTTGGTCACCCTAAACGTCTGCCCGTCTTCCATGTATCCAGCTCTGATACGTGTCCTATATGTGGGACTCCAGGTCAGGCGTTTGCTACTTCCAACATGATCTAGTTGTTATTTACAAAGTTATGATAAGATGTTTGGTTTGTGGGGATGTGATGAAATGTACCCTTGTTTCTACTCTCTAATGTGATTTTTATATACTCCCCCGGAGAAGACTGTCAGTCAGGTCACTGAAAGTATTTATTATTCGCAATACAGATTAAACTGCATACATTAACACAACAACGTATTGTATGGATTTACAACTTCTTCAAAATTTACAACACGACGTTTTGGGGCTACTTGTTGCCCTTCATCAGGTGAAATTAAATTTTGAAAATTAAGGACTTATAATTTCGATTGGAATTTTTAACACCATCCAACATCAACCCAAAAAGTACTAGAATCTGTACTTTACTAAGAAAGTGTAATCCCAAATATAACATATGTTACCATCCACTAGGACAACGCTACAAATCATTATCGGTACTATGCTGGTAGTAGATGCATTGATCCCATGAAAATTTATATTTAATTCTAAAGTTTCAATTTCAAAAGGTTAAAATTGGTATTCAGCAACCCATTAGGCTTCGGATGTCCCACTACCTTCATTGCCGATGTAGAGGCGTGGGGGAGCCTAGTGAGTGAGCTAGTTCAAATTTAAACTAATATCGTCAGTGAGTGAGTATGGTTTTACGCCTCTTTTAGCAATATTCCAGCAATATCACGGCGGGGGACACCAGAAATGGGCTTCACACATTCTACCCATGTGGGAATCGAACCGGGTCTTCTGCGTGACGAACGAGCGCTTCAACCATTGGGCTACCCCATCGCCCCCATTGTTCTAGTATCAGTACATTTTAAATGTTCTCAGACGAAGTTAAATCGTAGGAATTTTATTTTTATTGTTATTTTTCATTTTCTTCGTCGTGGTCAGTTTTCATATGTCATAGCATTGAATAACGTCATGAGATGATAATACGGATGATTAAAGCTGACGTGGCTTTAACGCACTCACTATTATATACCCCGAGTCTAATTCCAAGTTGATACGCAAAGGTTAACGCAGGAACCGTTACATACAGAACTAATGAATGAGTGAGTGAGTGAGTGAGTGAGTGGCTGAGTGAGTGAGTGAGTGAGCGAGTGAGTGAGTGAGTGAGTGAGTGAGTGAGTGAGTGAGTGAGTGAGTGAGCGAGCGAGTGAGTGAGTGAGTGAGTGAGTTACAATTTAAAGACACATCGGCATTATTTCAGCCATATCGTGACTGTGAAAGTTGGATATTAATAAACACATATTAGATGGGCTATATCTCGCCAACAACTGCATGTAGATCACGATACTAGAGAACTAAACCATGAAATCAATTACCACACATCTTTCATGAACAGACATTACATTATAGTGAAATTCACTTGAATTTGTTTACAATTATAAAAGGCAAACCCGTGAAGATCCAGGTTAGAATTGATCTTCAGCTAGATTTTGATTACAATCATAAAAGGCAAACCCGTGAAGATCCAGGTTAGAATTGATCTTCAGCTAGATTTTGTTTACAATCATACAAGGCAACCCGTGAAGATCCAGGTTAGAATTGATCTTCAGCTAGATTTTGTTTGCAATCATACAAGCCAACCCCATGAAGATCCAGGTTAGAATTTATCTTCAGCTAGATTTTGTTTACAATTATAAAAGGCAAACCCATGAAGATCCAGGTTAGAATTGATCTTCAGCTAGATTTTGTTTGCAATCATAAAGTAGTATGAACTTGCATGTAACCTTTCTGCCATACCCTTGGTGAAATTGTAAAATGTATACTTATATATAAACGTCAGACTAAAATATCCCCAGTGAGTGAAATGAAAGCACAGTGTCTAAAATTAATGTTGATTAGTTGTATATAAATAACTTGTTTTGAAACTCTAGTTATAATTACATTAATTAAAATATTTATCACTTCTTAACTTATATCAGCATTCGTATAAAAGTGAAATAAACGTCTAAACCCAAATAGAGCGTAGGACCTTCTGTGTAAAAGACCTATCGTGTTGGAGAGCGCACGTAAAATCCCAAAACCAAGTCCGTAAGATCGTGAGAGAGACCATGGGAGCCGTTATGTAAAAAAAGTTCGTGTGTGTGTTTTAATCTCCGCCTTTGCTTATAAAGACTATGCTAGCTATGTTCCTTAAAATGTTGAAATGACGGTATATATAGTAACGAGCAGAAAAAAATACGACAAACAAATTTATTCTGTAGACTCGATCCTACTATCAAAAAAAGCCGAAGTACATTGTTTCTAGCCGATTCACGATTTTATAAACATTCACATGCTGCTATAACCGTATAAACTACTTTGGGATTATTTTGATAAAATTACTCCAAACCTCACACGCATTCAGATTAGTTTGTCTTACATGTATTTTCTATTTTCGCACATAACATTCATCGATGGGGGTCTAGTCTTCTTGGGGGGCGGTGGGGTAACCTAGTGGTTAAAGCGTTGGCTCGTCACGCCGAAGACCCGGGTTCGATTCCCCACATGGGTACAATTTGTGAAGCCCATTTGTGGTGTCCCCCGCCGTGATATTGCTGGAATATTGCTGAAAGCGGCGTAAAACTAAACTCAGTCAGTCAGTCAGCCAGTTTGTCTTCTTTGGATGTTACGGAAAGGAGCGAGTAGTGACGAAGGCTTTGTGTGCCTCAGTACTACGATGCTCAACGAATATTGATCTTCAGTAACCCATGCTTGTCGTAAGATAGACCAGTGGGAATCTCGTTCATCCATTCATGCGCGTCACTACTTAGATGACGAGGCATTTGGCTACCTTAAGAGAGTCATAGTTATTAACGGGATCGGGTGGTCAGGCTCGCTGACTTGGTTGACACATGTCATCGGTTCCGAATTGCCCAGATCGATGATCATGCTGTTGATCACTGGATTGTCAGGTCCAGACTCGATTATTTATAGACCGCCGCCATACAGCTGGAATATTACTGAGTGCGGCGTAAAACTAAACTCACTCACTCACTCAACGGCTATAGTCTATTTGGGTCAAAATGATACCGATGAATCACAATCTCGGTTCATGATCAAACATTCATTTCAACGCAGAATGTAATGAAAACAGCAGACCAACTCTGGGGGAAAGTTTCATTACGTTTGTCTCCAAAATAAAAATGTTACTTAACAAACTATCATCATTTTGTTTCGATTGTCCATGTGAAGGTTTACGAAGGTAAAGTAACAGTAGTACTGTTGCGGTAGAAGGCTCAAGGCCGGGAAGCACGTGCAGCTTAGGATGTCAATATTTAGGGGGTTGTATCAAAATTCTTCCGGACATTAATCTGAGGAAATTCCTGATTCACTTTCACTTCTCTCAGATTATACACTCATGATGACTGGTTGAATGGTGGCATAATCTAAACCACTTTTTATCCAGTACTGATTCTCTGCTTCATTTTGAACTTTCTGTACACAGTTTAGCAGATTGCTGGTGTTATTTTACTTTATGACTTTGTGTACTTTGTTTCGAACGTAGGAAAAGTTTGAATGTGGTATTGTTGCGACCCCATCAGATTTTAATGACACCCCAGATAAGTTCTATTGGATTGAGTGGGGCGGTGGGAGTAGCCGCTTTAGCAATATTCCAAAGCGTTGGCTCGTCACGCCGAAGACCAGGGTTGGAATCCCCACATGGGCCCAATGTGGGAAGCTCATTTCTGGTCTTCCCCGCAGTGATGTAGCTGGAATATTGCTAAAAGCGGCGTAAAACCAAACTCAGTCAGTCAGTCAGTCTATTGGATTGAGATCGCAATGGTAAGGCAGTAAACGTAAAAGTTCATGGCCATGAGCTTTGAGATATTGATCTACCTTATAGATTGGTGCTGTTTTGTTGCGCTTTATGATGTCATACATGGAAACGGAATATCTTGTTTTCCTAGCCATGCTGCCATATTACTTTTCCTGCTGTTGGATGTTGGAGCTTTTGCATTTGGATCCTGCACGCTATGATATGGTGCGTTGTCCATAACAATTAAACTTGTATGAGGAAGTGCTGTACCAGCTGTTTTTTCACCCAATTTAAGAAAACTTCCCCTTTCATTTCAGTGTGGAAATCTCTGTTGTCTTTGGATTTCGCCTTGAACACGAGTGAACAATCAGGCAGAAACCCCTCACTTTTACAACCTACGTGACACAATCAGTCGCTCACCCTTGCCCAGTGAACGTTTCCTGTTACGTGGTCTGTAGAGGAGCTGTCTACCCATCGTGTGCTTGAAGTGTGGCTAGCGTTCACCCATGTTTCATCCCAAAACAGTAGTGGTTCGAATCCTTCTTGACGTTTTTGTCTGATAGTGCATAAGTAGGGGTGGGTATTGCAGAGTATTTTTATATTGCGATATATTGCGATGCGAAAGCATATATTGCGATATGTATTGCAATATATTGCATGAAGTATTTTTAAACAAAAAACTACTTATAATCAAGTTAATTCTTGATTCATAGAGCAAAACCACAACAAAATCACTAGGCTTGATTAAGCTTTAATAACAACTTTTAATCATGATGAAATAAAAAATGTGAATAATATTTGGCACAATGAAACAAGGACATATCCGAAGATTTCCGAGTGTTACGATGTTTTCTGAATGCAAGTCAAAATACCGGTTTTCGATCAGCGTATCGCAATACGTATCGTTTTCAGGTCTGAACCTCTAAACACCAGTAAACCGGTTATATTGCGCAGCCCTATGCGTAAGTATGTGTTGCGTAATCGCACGATGTCAGCTCTTTCACACAGCACCTGCTATCCCCACTTACCTGTTGGGAAAGAAACCCAAATTTATGCAAACGTTTCCCTTGCTGATATTTCGACATAGTCAACGAATAGTCTGTCGCCATGTGTTTTTCCAAATTGGAAAGGAATTTATTTTTGCTATAGAGTCTTCTAATAGCATTTCTTACTAACTCTTTCTGAAAACAGTCACGTTTGTCAACTTTCAAAA